TGAACAGCGGTTCCCTTTTAGATTTTGTTGTTTGGGGTTCCCGGGTGGATGCACAAGTTTTGGGGACTTTTGGTTTTGGAGAAATTAAATGGGGAAGCGGGATTTTTTGGTTAAGTTTTGGGTAGGGGGGGGGGGGGGGGGGGGGGGGTGGAGGGAATGATGCGAGCAAAAGCAAAGGTTTTGGCAGGATGAATCGGCTAGGCAACATGTCTGCAGTGGATGCATATATCAGAGAATATAGTCGTTGGATGGAGAGGGTCGGACGGGGATTTGATCGGCCGCTAGATGTGGTATGTTTGCAGCTCAACATTCTTCCTGGTGCAGGAAAGGACCACACTACAGGACGGCAGTTGTTTGATAGCAGTCTTCAAATGCGTGTGCACAAATCGAATTGGCTGAGAGTGCTTCCGGTTTATATTGTCTGTTTTTTTTTTGTTGCGTTTGTTCGTTTGCCAGTTTTTGTGTGGTCTTGGTAATTCTTGCAGTTCCATCCCCCCAGCGTCGCCTTGTGTTCTCTACTTGTTGTTGTGCCTTTTGTTTTGAAGTGTCGCATCTGATGTACAGCAGTAGAAGGTGTGCACGATATGGTGTTCGATCAAGTAGCGCCATCACATGGGGCATGCTAGGCTAAAGCGGGGGGGGTAGAGCTAGGGAGGCAGCATTCGGATACATTATCCCCGTTTTGGATTTGTTCAGCACGAGGTGAGGTACAAGAACATGGGTATCCATACTCAAGTCCTGCATGTGGTAGTCGTGGCCATGGTGGTAAGAGAAGCATGCGCGAGGATTTTTGACTAACATCGGGTTCTATACTACAAGTGAGTGGCGCCGTTCGTTGGTGAACTCGTGTAAAGGGCACCGTTTGTACATCGTACGTGCATGTTTTGTCTTTCGTTGTCCGGCGCTCGTGTCATCGGCAGGAAGGCTTGCCCCTCAACCTATCAATCTTGGTCCCACGACGAATCATGTTCTTACGTTCGCTATCGTACGACATGGCTTTGTTGTGTGTTGGAGCGCTTCGTTTCCTGTCGTCGTTGTTACGTCTCTCTGAATCCCTCTCGAAGTACACGGTTGAGCGAGCTCGCGCCAGCTCCGGTCCTGCACAACGTTCATCATGTTGGTTGTTTTCATCCCAAGTTCCAGGCTCTCTCAGTATTAGTAGTACCCTTGCAACATCTGCACCTGTCCGACTGACGTGCACATGTTTGTGGAGAAGGGAGAAAGAAAAATATGTTGAGCATCGGTCGGCAAGGAAACCAGGTACCATGATACATGATACGCGTATCTACACCGCACATTTTAAGAGTGGACGGCCGCTCGTGGGCGTGAGTGTTGCCTGGTAAGAAAAAGAAAACGCGCGAGAGCAAGCTACTTGCAGATAATCTTGCAGTCAGGGGCATATCTCCCGCCAGCTTGGCAAACTGGCGTTCTCATTTATTGATGCCAGACACCGCTGTCGAACAACCTCGAGGTTCCGAGAGACCAGGACATAAAATCGCGCCTAGATTCTGTCTGAAAAGGCGGCGGAACGGAGGCCTTGGGGATTGTTTCAGCATTCAGCATATCTAGCACATCACCGCGAGAGAGCGTGCCTCAGACGACGAACGAAACATCCTCATAACAGGCACGCGCAGCAGTAGCACACAACCCAGGTCTCTCTCTTGGCTAGACGGTAGACCTCCCCCACGAGCAACTTGCGGGATTTGCGCTTGTTGCAAACGACGAGGACCTGCGGGTGGGGTGCGAGACTGTTGCATAGTAGGTTTTCAGCCAATCACCGTGGTGGGGAAACATTCCGACCGCGAACTATCCCTCTGGCGCGGAGAGAAGCACAGGGCGGAACCACCACCAGACCCAACAACAACAAAAACACCCACACGGCCGGTGCAACTTTCAAGTGGGAACAGGGGGCGAGTCTGTGGACCTCTTCTTCTTGCTACTCCTCTTCTGTGTGTTGGAGAGAGAGAGTGTGAGAGAGACCCGGGGCGCGCGAAATCGCTGGCCTTGAAAGAGCTGGCGACAAACCAGGAGGTGAGAGGCGCGGAGCGCATGCATCACGCATGCATGCAAGAAGGCATTTTTTCTTGATTTTTCCTCTTTGCCCTCCCCATGAGATGATGCCCCGCGTGGCAGAGAGCCAGAGAAACAAGAGAGGGCGTGGAAACACGCAATCTCTTGCCTTTCCTGCCCCAACTTCAGCATCCGCCGTTGATGGTTGGGTTCCTGCGATGCTGGGAGATCAGCTCTGGGGGCAGCGCTGGTGGAGCTGAAGCGCACGCCCTGCTTCTGAGCGGGAATATGTCGTGACCCTGCTAGTGTGTTCCGTCCAGGATTCTGACAAATAACAGCAGCAGAGCAGCGCCTACTTGCCTGCTTGCCACGCAGCCCAAGGGATGAACTTGATACCACGCCATACGAACTGAATGCACCCTTAGCCACCCTTGCGCGAGTTCGTGGCACTCTGCTGTGTGCCTCTCACACAACCACAATCACAACCAGTACCACGTAGTTGCCGCATGATCTGCTGGCGTGATCGCTGTGCGTCGACCCGACGGCCCGCCCTGACTTGTATTTGAATGGTATAAAGATCGCCCGGCTGTGCGCTTCTTGCCAGCAACACTTTTGATGCGCTTCGTTTGCACGCATTTGCTGAATGCACTGAGATGGCGACGCCCTCACGCTGACCAAAGCGATTCCGTTAGACCTGACCGAGACAAGTCATTACCACCCATGTGTGTACCATTTGTGAGAATAGAATGTCGTGTGTGCGAAGTTCGTCTCCGGAAAATATTTTCAACGTCTACTGCTGTAAGTTGAAAGAAGAGAAAAACAAGCGCCCACGAGCATCCATGACCCATTGCTTCTGCGCTGGGGCGAACGTATGCATACCACTGACTCTCTTCGTCGAAACCAACACACAGCAGTAGTGTTCCCTTCGAATTTTGTGTGCGTCACGTACCCGTTATTCCCAGCAGTATACACATTGATACTGTAGATCTTTGGGACTAACCCGTTCTGATTGGTCGGGAGTTGTTGGGCGTTTGTTCTGGCGGCCGATTCCTCTCCAGCGCCCTCTCCCCTTTCCGCATTCCGAGCACGCGGCGCAGCCGGGTGCCGCCCAGTTCGCGGCCGCTAGGCCGTGCTTTGGCCGTGGATGAGGGCTAGGGCTAGGGTTAGGGTTAGGGTTAGGGTAGATGTGGGGTGAACAACCTAGCCTTGCTCGCGTGAAGAACCTAGCCTTGCTACGTTCAACATCGGGTAGTCCTAGAGAGTTACTATAATATCAAAGTGTAACCAAGGCTCATTCCCAGGCACGGCTGCCATACGGTTATGGTGATGTCAGGTCACCGTCGATAGGAACGAAAAAGCTGCAACAAGTAATCATGTTTCCTCTTGGGTGGCCTGCGTACACAACACACGTGCCGGTGTGCCAGCCCTAGTGAAGGGTGATATCGTGATATTTATGTCTTAGCGTGTTTCTATGTACACGGAGCCAAGGAGACCACCAAATGATATCGTGATATTTATGTATTAGCGTGTTCCTATGTACACGGAGCCAAGGAGACCACCAATTCCCGCCAGTCCGGGTCCGGTGTCAAGTGACTCTTCATCGGATGGGTTGATTCATTGCTAAGCTATCTTAGTCTCTTCAGACTAGAGATGGATTCGTCGTGTCATACATACGCATATTAAATTAATAAGAAAAAAAACTATTACTCCACACTTGTACTTCATTTGTAGTCATATTTGGAATTATGCGTACACTGCTGTATTTTTGCATGCATAGGTAGAGGATGGCCCTAGTGCCTACGGTATACGACCACACAGATAAAGGATACCACACGTCATACCATGGTACTTGTCAACACATGCGGTGGTACCACTACAGTAGCGGCTACGGTTTAACATAAGATGTTTAAACAAAAGTACGGGTTTAACAGAGGTGAACTGGCTTGGCACCAGAGAGTAAAAAAGTCCGTAGGTTAGGCGCTTGCGCAGACCCGAGCCAAAGGCGAGATGCGGCCCCCCGCAGGGGCCCCTCGGGAGGGCCCCCGGAGAGCCCCCGGAGGGCGCCGCCTGCGTAGGGCCCTCGCCGGAGGGGCCCCGCGGAGCGAAAAAATTGGGCTATTTCCTATAAAACTGAAAAATCAACCAACAACAGCCTGGAAGTGTCAATTATTTTGTTTTCTACGCGTTTTTTTAGCAGGATATGTCTCTTTCAAGCACAAAAGGCCCTCAAAAAACATTTTTTCGCCTCCAGCCAAAGAAAAGGGCCGCAAATATTTGTTTTCGCCTACGGCGAAAAAATGCGGCCCAATTTTTTTTCTGCGGCAAGCCGCAGATTGGCCCCATATGATCCTGCGCTGAGAGCATATTTTCGAAAAAATCTGCGGGCCCGCAGGGCCGTAGGCCCTTTTTTACTCTCTGCTTGGCACCGCCAAAAATGGTTTTACAGAAATTTGTCTTGTTTCTGAGATTTTCTGTCAAGTGAGTTTGTGGAGGCTGCGTCACAGACATCACACAGACACACTCAACAAACACACACACAGCTGCACACCATATGCTCTGCGCAGCGGGCAGTCGCTGCACAGCTGTCCCCAATCATACGCTAGGCCCACCGAAGTTCACAAACCACCAATGCCGAGGCGTCTGCGGGCAGCACCTCCATGGCACCTGCGGGATTTCCTGCAGTTTAACAGAAGTGCCGATTTAACAGAGGGATTTGGGCTTGTCACGACCCTATGTTAAACCGTAGCCGCTACTGTACTTCAAAGTATTTACTAATAATGGTATGCATACATATGCATAGCGTGGGGTAATGAGCCGCGGGGTACGGCTCAATACCTGTCTTCCAGTACAATTCTATGCGCGATTACGAGACCCTGCTTCCAGGTAGCAACCACACACAACGTGGAGAATTCCGCAATTCCTACATATGCATGGGTGTGCGGAAAATTCGAGCGGATCTCCAAGACTGGTGCATGCGCTTCCGTTGGAGTGTCAGACTGGTTCAATGTTCAACACTACACCAACGGCGGAGGAACATAATACAAGTACGCCGCCGTAACACACTGGCCCTGCTTACAGCGGCATTGCCGTCATACGATCGGCACGTAACAGCAATGCCGCCGGCATTATACATGAACAAGTGTCGCGGACACAAATACACTAGATAGAGCCCATTGGGGAGCGCGGTGTGGAGGGCAGCAGGAGCACAATCCAAACAGAGCCGTAACCGTTCTCCGCAAACATTGTCGAGCGAATCTTCACTGCTGTTGGTGCATCCGCTCTGCCAAATGTCTAACAGAGCCACTAAACACATCGCGTCGGAACAGGCCGACATGAAGAGCCTTTTTTCCCCTAGTGGGATGGAGTGGAAAAGGAAGCGGCTGACGCCGCCTCACAGCTCACTATTACTATTTCATCGTCACGGGTCGGCCAAACCAAAACCACGCACCAGTATATTTCTTTCGTGACAAGACCTCCAATACCACTATTTTATTATCTTCTTTCACCGGCAACATCGGGGGACAAGAAATGCTCCCACCACCGCGTTGGCGAACACTTTTGGGGACTGGTGCAAATATCTACGCACGAGGAAGATTTATCCTCGTACTTTTGCGACAGTTCCCCCCCGAGGAGGATGCGTTGGCTAAACACACGGGCGGCCTAACTCAGCCGGGGATTCTCGATTCCGGGCTCGCAGCCACTGCATGACTTTCGTTGCCAGATCCGTGTCACCACCAGCCTCAGCACCATTTTGTGCCATTTGTTTTTTTTTTGTTCGCCGGTGCTTACAGGTGAGAAAGAAGGGCGTCGTTAGGCTCGTCCAAGACGCCGCACGGTTCTGCGATGATGAACGTCGTCACACGCTTCTGGTGGGCCGTTGCGCTACAGCTGTGCTTGGCGATGTGTTTTAGCGGCGTGTCGTCGACCCCAAGCTTCCCGGGCTGCGACCTCATGAAGCCGGAGGATGCTTTGTCCCTCGGGGATGGGGTCTGCGACATGCTCTACAACATCCAGGATTGCGGCTACGACGGAGGAGACGTAAGAGTTTTGCGTGACGTCACTGACTGTTGGTTCTCTTTTCGTTTGGTGGTGCGACAAGGCCCTGTTTACACCTTGTTGCGTGGTGTGGAGCTGATGTGTGGTGGCCACTGAAGGCAACTAGGGATCATATGGCCAACATGTTTTTGTGTACAGCAGTCGTGGGCCCTCTACATGTGCCCGGGCGATTCGCCCGCCCAGAGCAGGGCAGCCACCCTGTTGAAACTGTAACGCAGCGTGAGGGTTGTATTTGAAATAAATATTTAACCCGCCCTATGCTGTCCACCTGCCCTTCGGAGAGCCCCACAACTGCACCTTTTTTTGTCAATAACGCTGGCGGCACGATTTTTTGCGTTGAGACACTTTGTAGCATCTTTAGCTGTGGTGTAGCCAAGCTTGTTCTCGTGGTGCTCATCGTCGCGCGATATGATGCCTGCTGGTGTGGCCGACGAACTATTCAGCTCGTCCCCGGCACCTTTCCATTTGTTCAAAACCCCTCCTCCCTCTCACCTTAGCCTCATCGGCACCTTTACATTTGTTCACCCTCCTCCCCCTCATGTTTGCCTCATCGTTCTCTCCCCGGTTGGCGGCCGGCCTCCTGACGCGCTCGATGTGGCAGTGCTGCCCCTGCACGTGCCTGGGCAGATGGGACCGGGAGAAAGATTCGGGTAAGAGGGCCCTCCCGGCGTGTTTTTTCTTGCCGTCGTCTCTCGCTGGCTTGGTAGTCGAGACGGAGCATCTATCTTTCCTGTCGTTAGGGATAACCTACGAGAGATCGTTCGTCGGTCGGAAGAGCTCTGCTCCTATTTTGCACAAGTAGGCAGCTTTTTACGTATGGATCGCTTTTTAGCGTAGCTTTGCAAATGTGTCACTCACCCGGTTTAGACCGCGCTTTGATCAACCCTCACATCAATTCTTTTTTCGTCCCCCCCCCCTCCCCCCCCTCCCGCAGTAAATTATGACAGAGGTCATGAAACTAGACGTAGTTTTCCTGCAAATGGCCGCAAAGGCGGGAATACCTTGGTCGTTGTTTTCGTTCCTTGGCTTTCCAAACACCTTCGCGCAGAAGCTGTAAAATGAAAGCTGTCCCGCGACCTAGATTACCCAATCTTATCACCCCCATCACCAGCAGTATTTCAAGATCTTCCGCCGACCCCCGGGGCGACTGCCGTTGTGTGTACCTGTGGACATTCGCCGAACCCCCCTTGCCCCCTCTCTTTTCAAACCCTTTCCTGCCGGCAGACTACGCGTGTGGCTCGAGCGGCTATCACTGCCTCGACCCAACGGCTCCCTGCTTGGCCGAGCACGAGACAGCGCTCCGCGAGCTGCAGTCGGGATCCGACGCGGCCACAGGGTCCACCTACACGGACGACGGATCTAACACGGGCGAAGGATCTTACGCCAGCGAAGGGTCGTACACGGACGAAGGATCTAATACGGGCGAAGGATCTTACGCCAGCGAAGGGTCGTACACGGACGAAGGATCTAATACGGGAGAAGGATCGAGCACGGACTCGCGTAGCCCCACATCGGCCCCCACCGGGGCCCCCACCCTGTTTTCCAACCAGGACGTGGTGGACGCCTTTTCCACTGCCGCCGATGGCCTCTCAGGCAGCGCCGTCGGGGCGATCGTTGGGGTGTGCCTCGTCGTCGTGCTCGTCGGTGGTGCGATCTACCTCTACAAGAAGAAGCAGGGTGGTAGTGGAGGCGGCGGCAGCAATGCCCCTAACTATGCGGCCGCAGACTCGGCGAGCCTCACGTAGTTGTACCTGGTCCGAACGCGCGGACGAAGAGGGAGGAAATCGTGTGCATAGCTCATAGCTCCATGGGCGGTGTTGAGGTACGCTGGCCGTACCCGTGGTTGCCGTCGTTTGAACCTTGGCTCTTACGATTTGGTGCGCCCGCCAACCAACAGTCAGCCACGCCATGCCGTGACAACGAAATTTTTTGTATTTCATTCGTCGGACCGTTGTGACTTGTCATTTTGTTGTCTCCGTTTTGCAATTTTTGGTTTGAGCTACGTATGCACCCCGCGTAGGTATTTTTGCCGTGAGCCGTACCCCCCCCCCCCCCCCCCCCTTTATAGCCTATATTGTATTGTCTAAAGTCAGGAGACTCCCACGTGGTCGGTAAGCACCTTGGCAGCATTGCCTACGGTTTGTATGGTGCGGAGCTCACAAGGACGCGGTCATTTTGCGTAGAGGCGTGCTTGGCTGCTATTTCTAGCAGTTCGAAGCGCTGTTGTTAAAGGGCGTTGTGGTTTCCAGCGTGTACGTGCCCCTATGCTGCAGTGATTGCGGCAGTTGCAGTGATTGCAGCAGGTCTTGCTTGACCGATAGGCATGTAGGGACGGTCTTATAGTTTCATTTGCGTGTCCTGGAGTTCCATGCAGTCTGGGGCAGAGTGCCATCTCCCTCATGATGCTGCGAGCAGCAAATATTCGTTTGCCTCTTGTTTATTTCGTTGGTGTAGCACGTGTGTTGTAAAACGCGTGTTGCCTCCATGTTGCTCCTAGTGAGGTTAGCCTGGCAGGTGGGACATGCTGACGATACACACTCCCCAACATGTCGGGGCGTTGGATGATAATAGTTTTTTTTCTGTATTTGTCGTCTGTTTGTTTTTGGCTTGAGCATCACCCAGTTGGATCCATGGGATCCACCTCCTGTCTCTGAAATTGTTACTCCAGGAACTTTTATCTTGGTTATTCTATGTACGAAGCTTAGGGATATTTTTTTAGCAGTTGGTGGGAACCACGTCTTGGTTGTGGGTGGTTCGTGTATATTATTTGGTTAGCTCATGACAACATGAAATCCTTTCTTTGGCTGGAAGAGTGCGTGCGTACGAGGAGGAACCACACAGATGTCAAAACGGACGCTTTTGTCAAGAACCAACGAGGAGAACGGCAGCGGGCAGGGTTACTTTAGATGCTGCGTGTGTGGTATGGAGAGCGTTTTCACGACGGAGATGACAAGACATACACAGGTCTGACGCGGAATAAGAGATCGCTTTCAGTCCACGTGGAAAGACGTACCGAACGCAGGTACCACACTGTGACACACACAGTTTTTTTCGACCAAGCATCTCGGGTGTTGCCACCACCGATTCAAAACGCGATTAAACAAATCATTTGGTTGTTTTCTTGGCCTTCTCGCATCCCCGCTCACTTTTTGTCGTTCTTACTGAGAGCGTTTTTGTTGTTTCTTACTGCATCTATCGTACGGCACGGCCAGTCAGCTACAATAATTTCAGCCCTTGACTCATTTCGTCGGGTCACGCGTTCTTGGACGGGAATAGGCTGCTCGCCATTGTTCGCAAAGATCGAACATAACTGGTGCTGCGAAAGGTGGGGTGCGGGCAGGAGGTCATGCCCAACCTATGCTGTGGATCTGTTGGCTATAGTATGAACTGAGAACCCATGGCTGGTATTTCGACTCAGGAGAAGACGGAGTGAACTCACACACCACGATTGATCCAAGAAATATGCATTTTCACTCTTCGTTGAATTCGTTTCACTCACGATTCACTTCGCGACGTCAGTTGACAGTGACTTTCTGTGTCGCTATCACAACGTATGGTCTTCCCCAAGCTACGCTACGATGCCTGGGCAGAGAAAGGTGGAACTGAGGCCGCACAGTCTGAGAAATATTGCTGCCGTTCTTGGAGGGCTTGCATGTTGCAACATCCGGTGCTGATCCGGGTGTCGTTCCTTCAAAGTTAAATTAATTCCACCGTCCTAGTTTCTTGGAGTACCCCCGTTTCTCTTTGTTTCGCGTAACAGTTGATTTCCAGAGTTGACCTTGCTCTTCGAGGTTACATAGAGAGCGAGCAAATGGTACGCGCGGCAGGTGAAGATGTTTGCAATGTTGACCCAGGTAGTACACGGAGTACCCACCCTCGCGTGGAATTTTCACTAGTTCATGGTGCTACAGGGTCCTACACGCCTCTGTCATCGCAGTAATAGTGGATGGCCGTTGTTTCTGTAATCGATGGCCACAAGAACTGGAGGAAGCGTGCGAATAGAGGGGGTGACTTTCCACGGAAATGAGAGATACCGCAGAAAAACGAAAAACCACGGGTGATGGATGGAGGCATCCACGAGTGAATGGGTGTGTCTTGGAGTACCGAAAGCACATGAGATCCTGCAGGCTTCCAAAGCGCATGTAAGCTGCAGAAAATGATGCATCGACGGCTACCGGGAAGAGTCCTTGTGTGGTTCTTTTCATTTTGTAGGTAGTTTTTCATTTTTCTGTGGTCTAGTGAATTTGTCGGGAGAACAAGCGGAACAACATGCCCGCGGCCGTTTGCAATTTTTCCATTCTCGCCCTCGAGATCCCTTTTTATTGCGTGCCGCAAATGGTTCAGGATATTCAGAGTCTTCAGCTGGTCGTGCTTGGCAAGAGTCACTCGTTGAACTGATGGACGGATGTGTCGTTTCATTCAACGGCTTTAGCGAAAGCAAACATTGCACGCACGTTGAGAAAGTGGGCTCACGGCAACCCCGAAACTTGAGAACCAATCTTAAATACCAACTGCAGGAAACAAAACATACCGTGTGTTCCGACATAAGGCGGCAACCATGCCTGAAGAGATGAACGCCTACAGTAGTCGCTCCCCCTTAGGAATGCACACGAGAGTTCATCTAAAGGTTCCGGCGGCCACGCTTACGAAAAAAAAATGAAACTGACCTCGCCCATATCCAAAATGGGGATCCACGCGCGGTTTCGTGCCAGTGTATGTTCTCTTGCTCAAGAAACAATCGTACGCTTCAACACGTTAAACATCGCATAATGGCGGTAGCGACTTAGCCCGTATTACACGCTTACAGCTTTGTGCGGAGAACGCTTTCGAACACCCCTGCGCTGCAGCCGACGAAACCTACCTCCACCTGAGGTGAAGTGATCTACTAGCCTTGCTGGAGTCCGCCGCAGATAGGCAATACAGTCTAGCCCTGCTGGGGCTACAACGCCACCATTTCAGAATACAATCCTTTTGTGACGCTTCCAGCCACCGGGTCATGTTTTTTTCTTCTTAAACATCTTGGAGAACGCAGATTTCACTGTCGAGCCAAACCTGGCCGTTTCATTGCACCGAAAGGAGGCGGGTACACAGCAGACGATGGGGCACGGGAAACGTTCAGTTTCAGTGGCACCAAACGTCCCGAGAGGACCTCAGACACAACGCGGGCAAGTACGGCCAAGCGAAATGTAGCAGCATCAATACAGGCGTGTCGATCGAGATCGCTTGGACAAAGCAATCGCACTTCACAACGAAGAACTCGAAAAAAAACTATATATTCAACCGAGATGCCTTTTCCCGAAAATTGCTAAAGCCCAGCTCAGGGACCGAATGAAAAATTGCCAGATTTCCTTCCACATGATCAGAATTAGGTATTTCAGTGAAGAAACACATGACACTGTGGGTTCGAAGGGTGAAGCCTGATATATTTTGTTAACCCTGATGTGGCTGTCTTCACATTCACAATTGCCGTGTAGCGAAGTAGACATTCTGCACAATCGTCCGAACAGATCTTGGCGACGCAGCAACGACCTCCAAATATCGCAAAGAAAACACAAAACTAACGTTCTCCAACACAACGTAGCCCAATACCGTATCCCAAAAACTACGACCGAGGCATTCACTCTAAAGCACGCGTCCAAAACGACAAGCTTACCATCCTGTCGCGGTGAACTTGATCGTCTCGAAGTCGTCGCTTGCGTGGTCCCAGGGTGACCCGAACACGTGCAATCGCTTGACCTACCGGGTCAGCAGCCGAGACAGCAGTGTGTTTCTTCAACTAGAATCGAAAAGCTAACCGGCTGACCAGTTAAAAAGCGTCAAGGATTGTGCACGTTAGATTCTACTCCGGAGTATGCATTTTGTTTTCGGGCGCATCTATCGGGAGCAGGATAGTGCCCTTCTATCCATAATCTGCACTGCCTGTCTGAGCTTTTTCTCGAGGAGAATTAAGCCTTTCGTTTCCCTCGTCGACCGGTGAAGTCAATTTGTTTGTATTCACGAGGAAATCGTTGATCGTTCACATTTGTCCCAATTCGTGCGACGGGCCCTAAATTCGAACTCAAGTTCTCTCGTCAGCTTCGAGGTTGCTGGAATACTGGGGCGAGTGAAATAAAAGTAAGGCAGGAGTGAATTAATGCCACTGAGGTGGAACCAACGTCGTGTGCGTTCGCGACTTACTACATGTGGTGAGCGTGCTTTTTGTTGTGTAAGATGATGAATCGGTGGAGTTTCAGGATGTTAAGTCTCGCGTGGCTTGTTCGATCGAAAACCATCGCTGTCCATCGCATTCTTCCATCAGTACTTTGTTGTTGTAGTAGCTTTCGTCTTGACGTCAAAACTTGTTCCGAGCTACATCCGGCCCGTACTGTCAGCAATAAAGAAAAAGCTAAATATACCTTGCTTATATTTAGCTGCAGAAAGCACGGTTTCACAGCTTGTCAATGTACACCTACGAAACACTTGTCACGTAGAGAGATCCGCCGACAGCCTCAGCCCGACCAAGCTCACCTCAACACCAGAACCGTTCCGAGGTCCGCTACCTGGGCTACCCCCGGATTCCACCTCATCTGCAGCACGCGCAACCAAGCCGTTGCCGACGTCGTGGGTCCACAGAACGACTCCCTCACTGTTTCTGACCGATGGGTATCTTCACAGCAAGGGGAAGGAGTGGGTGGAAGTCGTGGTTAGACGCGATGCTGAAAGAAAACATCAACAAGAGGCACCCAACGTAACTTGCCACAGCCGAAAGGCGTGGACGATCTTGAATGCGCTGCTTGGTCGGTCGCTCGCAAGGTGGCCAGACGAATGCGCGTGCCACTTCCCTTTGTAGGAGAACCCATGATACATTCCACCACAGCCTCCCGATCAATGTTACCGAAAAAACGTTGGGTAGGATAGTGTACGCCATACAGTACGTCGGGACTAACGCACCCCAAGTCCACGAGCTTCTTGGCGTACTGGCCGGAACGGAATCCAACTGTACAGTACGGCGCCACGACACCCCAAGCCTCCTCGCCTTCCCCGGAACGTTCTCGGAACTTTTTCCCGGTCCTGGCCGCCTCTCCCAGGCTGCTGTTCTCGAACTCTTCCCTGTGTTTTTCTCAAGACGAGAAGGGCGTACAATGTCAGGCTTACTCCTGCCGCGATCTGGGAGGTGGGGAGCGAAGCGAGCAGATCGCACGTCTATTTTTTCCCCACTCGCTGAAAAGACGTCAGCACACCCCCTTCGACTGTGGTATTTTCTCGAACGGTTAAGTCTTTCTTTGATTGTAGATTTCTAGAAAAAAGAAACGCATGAGTGCGTAGCAGACACACACAGAGGCGGCGCAACTTCCTGTCGGCAATTTCAGGTAGCATGCGAACACAAGAAGTAGAGGACGACGATGCTGGGCGCCCTCGTCCGTGATGACGCAGTCGTTGCACTCAGAACCCTCTCAGTTGTTGCAAATGCTCATTGTTATTGCACGAAGAGCACGTGACCAAAAAATCACTTGAGGGTACTTTTTGAGATCACTTGAGGGTATTTTTTGTACATTCAAAGATCTTGGACTCCAGCCCCGACGGTTGCCCAGCTCAACAGGTTCTTGAATTGGTGGCGAGTTCCGCGGTATGGAAGAGGACGTGCGGATAGAGAGGTCAATACGGTATGGTTTGTGAAGGAACTAGCACAGAAGACAACAAGACCAACGATTGTAGAGCCCAAAACAACCCTGTGTTTGCAGGCAGGTAGTGGCAGAGGGCTGGGGGGCTTGCCTGGTAAGAGCGCCTCGGAGCATGGAAACCTTCATCTCGTCCTCCGTACGAACGTCGACCAGAAGCACCTTTTTCCCTTGGAAGCGTTTAGAAGCATTTCGATGCGTGGCGAAGGACCGCGTGAAGCGAGGAGCGAGTGCAAGGCTTGGCAGTCATGACCGCAAGCATGTTCAGAAGGGAATTGCGTGTATAGATTGGTTATCAGGAGACGTTGCCTGATGTTGCGCTCGATTCGTGAAGTCGACGCCGAAAGGTGGGACGAAAAAGAAGAGCATTCGCGCAGTACTATTGTAGACCGTTCACCGGGATGGCCGCCTGCCAACGACAAAGGACGTACGTAACCGAGCGCGCCTCATGGTGCTGCCATTTAGAAGCACTTGAGGCCAATCAACCATAGCACCGCTCTCTCACCTTCTTGTTCTAGCCGTAGCACGTCTTTGGCCGAGATTGTCTGGACATCCGCGAAGTGGCCCGTTGCCTAAACAAAGAAGCACGGCAATGTCCGAACGAAAGGCCGAAGTTCAAGACGAGAAGCTCAGAAAATGAGCTCGACACAGATCTACGTCGACCAGGCTTACAAACTGGTTGCACGCCACGGAGGCATCCATCGAACAGGCCGCAACAGAAAATACACTCGCATATGCATATGCCGAACGCCGGTAACAACTACTAGGCGAATTGATACGCGATGGATTGGATACGACACACAGTCCCGCGGAGGGTGTTCCTTTCCATCACTCTGGTGCAAGCCCGCCGCGATCTCGTGCCTTCGCTCTCGTGCCTTCGCCCTCAATCTAGCACACCGCACGTCAACCCCAGCGAGCCGTCCATCGACAGCAGTAGTCAACACTCCTACCAGCCGTTGCCTCAATCAAGACGGTGTTGCAACACCACGGAAACCTAGTGTCTACAGCGAGTGGCTGTGGGGCTGAGCTAATGGTATATGATGGAGGAACCCAGATATATGCTTGCCACGATTTTTCGTCAAGGCCCTCTCGTATTCAGCTGGTAGCTTGTGCTGTGATCATGAAATCATGTGGTCGGGACAAGCGTGTAAATATCTCGTTATGACGCAAAAATTACTTGAGTACTTACAGCAGTAGGAGGAGGATCGACGCGGGTCGCGTACATCAATCCATTGAGGAGAAAAAAATTCTTCCGAAAAAAAAAACTGGTCTCTTCTCTCTAGTCTAGCCATGATCCTTCTCACCTCTAGCAATAATCCATTTATGTATGTAGCAGTCAACAGCGAACTTTTACAGAACGAATCTTAATCTTCACTCTGCTGAATGACAGCTACAACCTAAATACGTTGAGATCCACACTCCTTGCGTGACACTGGTCTTACACCAACTTGTAGAACCTTTCCCCCATTGGGCGACTGGCATCTGCGACATTCGGGAGCCGACAGACCCGTCCAACCTACATACGACATACGCTTTATACGACATACGCTTTAGCGTGATGACAGAATGGTGCATTTACAGGCCCACCTTGCTGTAGGGTTTGCTCCGCACCATCAAAGTGGACTCTGCGCTTCGTTGCCATATCGCACAATTTTTTCTTCATTGCGGCAGGAGACCGTGGACGAAGAGGTCATGCCAAGGGAATGGTCTCCCCGAAATTGAAGCTATACCCCAAAAAAATTTCGGCTCGGCGCTGCGTGTTGACACGAGAGACCTTGACCGAAGCAAACAAAGGTTACACAACTTGAATCAGGCACTATTATTATGAATAGACTGTGCCGCATCTCGGACGATGCGGGCACGTCACGCGTCACGCACACCTTTTCAACGCTAGCCCTGGCTTTCTCGTAGCTCTTAGACGTCGAAGCCATGCCCCCGGGTGGCCATACAAGAAGAACAGGAACAATGAGGGGCAGCACGGCAGTACCAGCGAGCAGCATCTGCGAACCCTCCAGCACCAGATGGCAAAGACGCCTGACGCGGCATAATTTTCCCTGTTGCCAGGTTCTGGGCGGCGGGTATTGCGCCTTTTGGCAGATCTCGTTGAATGCATGCGATTGTTGGGTGTTGGATGCGGAGGGTGATGGATAGTTTAGATGGACATAAATAATGTACCTGTGTTCGGAGACGAAGAACACCTGTCGCTTCACTTGCGCCTACAGGGGGCGGTACTAGAACGGTATGGGCGAGCATGCGGACACCACTGGGCGACGATTCATTGATCCCAACGATGACAAGGTAGCGTTCCCTGTTTCGTAGTTTGGCGACTTGGAGGACATGTTTGAATGTTGTTTTGTACTTGTAGCAAGGTGCCCGCTCTTGGGGGCTGACATCGACGATAAGTTGGGAGGATCTTTGCTGCGATGCTAGCGACAACAGCGGCAAGAGCACATAATTTGACAGATTCCGTAACATCTCTGTATGCACGAACCCCAGCACACCGGGGTGAACCATGTTGGCACACACCTCTGTATGTCGTCGAACTACAGGAAATAACTGCCAATCCGGTTTAGCACGATGCCCTCAATAGCGCTTGTAACATTTTGTGACACTATGGACCGCTCAACCGGGATCACGACTACAGTTTGATACGAGAGAAGTTACCGTACGTCGTCGACTCTGTATGCTACACGCACAGCGGAACCAGGGCCTTAACGGGCACAATCTACCCGGCTGCTGACTGCCGACAGGTCGATTACAGCGACGACGAGGATGGATTATTGGAACTGTACGACGACTACGCATACGACCACAGCAACGAGAAAGCAGAAGAGGTGGGGCGTGATGACACTGGTATGATAACCCTGTAGAGCAAAGAGGGATGTACGACAGCCACTTTCCGAATCTTTGGAGAATCCGTGGACGCGTGTCTCTCCAACTTTTTTTTGTCGTAGTAGTCTTCAATGAAACGGCCAACTCCATCAAGATGACAACCAAGAATTGTAAGAGTTCTGAAGCGCAAGTTGCTGATCGCCTAGACTATCACTTGCAGCTCATTCGCCCTCAAGGACGTATTCTAGTACGCGGCTCTCGTCCACAGAAAATGCCACGTTGGAACATGACAAGTGCAAGAACGAGAGCGCACTGGAATCATTCATGTGCTACAGAGATATGCCGAATGTTTTCTCGACGTGAATGCTTACGACCTGACTGGAAAAGGTGTTGCGTATGTACCTCTGGGTTTTCGTCCTGCTCCCAACATCAGGACGAAGAAGGCTTCCCGCAACACAACTATGAGGAGGAGGACGACGGCGAGGGTCAGGTTCTAAGCTCCGTCTACGAAGAAGATCAAGCGCATGAGACGAGCGATATGTGGTATGTAGCCCTCTGCACTCGTAATGCTCAAACCATAACGTCATACTTCGAAGTACATTTCGAGAACGGCACGATAGCACTGGTTGCCGGCGGTGGACTGGTTTGACCACTTACCTTTCAAAGAATACAGGTTTCGCATCAGACATTGGTGACCAAATCTTTTGCTCTTGGTGGCGGGGAGAATCCTCCAGAAATACACTCACGAAGAATGAGGCTCTCCCTTTGCGCGACACTTCCAACTTGCTCTGGTGGATCGTGAGTGGGAGGGTCATGGACACCTCCTCCGCTATCAGCAAGACCTCGGGACACGATTGTACATACCATGAGTACTATTGTTTTGCACCATCTCGTTCATCTATCATGGGTAGTTCTCTATCTACACAGACAGACGATCTGCCTACCTGGACCGGTAGCTCCAAATCGAGGTCACGCAGAAGTTTCCTCAGCGGGACGCGCATTGTTTCAGCCTGACAAGGCTCCAGCAGTCCGTTCCTTGAAGAAAGTGCTCACGAAAAGTGCTTCTTTCACGGTGGTGATTTTCGTGAGACGAAGACAAAAGCAAGGATTCGAAGTTTCAAACTAGCGTTGAGTTGATGTCAGTTGTGGTATACCGTACGTCCCAAGCCAACGGTAAGAGAATAGGTGCTGGGTGTACGATCACTGTCATGGGTCTGCGTCTGGCGGAAAATGGTGCTTAAGTACGCATTATGGTGTGCTTGCACCGTGCTTTTGGTCCGCTTGTGTTTGCCATATCCATGCAGCGGTAGGTGTGCTGGTGCCGAGAGTGAGGATGGCCAGGACGCCGGAATCAAGATCAGTCAGAAGGACGAGCATAGACTGCTGTAAGGACTCGGGAGCCGGTGTGAGACAACACACATGTAATACAAGTACCTTTGTCAGATGTTTCGCTGGCATTGCATCCAGGAGAGTTTTTTCTTCTAGGCCTTCTTTGCCACCTCAGAAGCAACCCTGGTGACCATTCCTGCGGTACCGAGCATGCCCTTCCAAAAGAAGCAAGGGTTGGAGCTTTGGAAAGGTTTCCGTGCAAGCGGTTGACTGACTACCATATGAACGCCTTCATGTGCAGTGATCGATCTATAGATCATGCCGTCGGTCCCAGCTACCATCGGAAAGGTTTCGGAGTTCACAAGTCTCTAGTTCACAAGCCTCTAACCAGGCAATATGTCTCCGGCGGTAGCCGTCCCGGACCTGAAAACCGAACGTTCTATTGATCTATACCCCTTGTGGTGCTTCCGTTTCACCTCGCTGCTCCCTTGACGCCCATGGCACAACGCTACGGTCGTGAGAAGTGGGGCGTTTTTGCTGGCGGTGGATGGTGGTCTGAGTGGAAGCGGCAGAGACAGTGAGGGTGGGGGGCGCTGTGACGAGCCCCAGCTGCCGACAAATGCCCCTGATTGCTTAAAGAAGGTGCCTGTCGCGCTGCAGGTTGTTCGGTTGTGAAGTAGCTCACGGCGATGTTGCGTGGTTGTTCCACCAGCAACGTGCAAACCGTGCCGGGGCAGCAGACCTTAGAACAGGGAAGAGCTTCGCTGCTTGAAGGTCGCGTGCATCAATGTTAGCTCCTCAGATGCTAGGAACAACCCCTCTTGTCTGGATCGATGTACTTGTGAGGCTTCCTCCGCAAAAGTAAAAAGTACGTGCACCCGTTGCGAAAGCTGTAATGATTCTCGAGAAAAATCGGTGGGAGCATCAAGCTGGAGAGCTCTCCGTAGGCGTCCGTGAGGGTGTTGCACACTGTTGTTCGCCAGCTGAACGCGAAGTGCTTGTAGGTGATATCCAAAAGTCTTATGTTTCCGATCCTTTTCTTCGTCGCCTGCACAGTTTAGAACCATCGCTGCCTCGTTGGGGCTGAAGACCACTCGGGAGCAGTTAAGAGAAGACTTTGAGAAGGTGGGAAGCGCTGTAGCACAAACGGAGAAATTGCGCGGAAATCGCAGGCGTGTCGCGCGGTCTTTCTACCACGTTTTCCCGAACTTGCGCGGTGCGTCTTGCAGGGGTAGTGCGGTGATGATGAAGCGGCATGTAGCTCTATCATCTTGCTGCAGAACCACCCGTGATGTCAGATCTACCTCTTGGGGGAGCTGTTTCGTGCCATGTATAGAGTCCGAAATCGAACCCTTATGCTAGTCAGCGCTGACTCTTCTCATGGTTAGGTTTCGGATTCTAAACATGGCGTCGACGGGGTCCGTGACCAGTTTCTTTTAACTCTCCGTCTCAACGTCTTTCTGGGGCGCTTTATCGGGCCAGTCGCGCACATATTCGTAGATTTGGGTTCTAGAGGAGTCCCTGCTAGTATGGGTAGGTCACAACCAAGTATCTCCACTCCAGTGATCACAACCCGCGATTGTCGCATACGTTTGCGGTCCACGGCTCACGTTTGGTCGTGTCTCCAAAGAAAGGTCGTTCGCAGCAACGGGCTGGTAGACACCTCCCCCGGGGACCCTTGGCTAGGGGCCGATGACACGGAGAGACCGGTCGTCGCCTTTACCTACAAGGTAACCCAACATCAGGGGATATAACCCAACGTCAGGGGATGGAAGACTAAGTTGATGGGTGGATATCCTGCGGTCTCTTATGATGCAGCTGCACCTGAATATCCGGCTGACGCGAGGGAGCGGTTGATTGATAAGGACGTCGGGAGGGAGCGTAGGTGATCGTGGCATATCGAGGGGCGGTTCGATCAAGCTGTTGGTTCGAGCAAGGGCCAAAGATGACCACGCCGAGATCACGTGGGCCAGTCTTCGAACCCAGTTTATGTGCATGACTGCCGCATCGGGCAACAAGCCGACTCCGATATATGTGGTTTCGTTGGACCTTCGTATCTACAGTACAGATATTGGATCTGGGCTAGTTTCGTGCGTTGATACGGGTAGGCGAGCAATACGAAGACCTCTGTTCTAACGTCCGATCGTCGTGATACGCACACGGTGGGACGGTATGTGCAGGTGTTCCGACGGTACTATCTAGCCAAGATACAAGGGGAGCTACTGGAAGTCAACATCCGGCAAGCGTGGGAGGATCTTCACCAGGGAACAGGTATGGCCGTCGGGGTGAACCGTGGCACATGACGTAACTCACAATAGCAACACACACACCAGCACGCCACTTGGTTCGTCGAAACCCCACCGTTCTCCGTCCGGAGAGTATGGAGGGGTGAATACTCTGAGCTCCCCGGGGCACTCCAGAAAAAAGAGGTGTCAGATACAGCAGATGTAAAGGACTGTCGTCGTTACCGCTCTGATCAGGCGCCACCCATGACCGCTGCTGATGCACAGGAGGCAAGCTCATGCCGTCCGGGGCATCCCCCATCGGTTTTGACGCAACGGAAGCGTCGGCAGAAACATCCGGCGGGGGAGACGGAGGACGGCACTATCGCCACCACCAGCAACGCGGAGACTCCGACATTGGTGGAGGCGACTCTCGCGGTAGGCCGTACGTGGCGCGCGCAGAGCTGCAGAAGATCTTGACGAGGGAGGGGGAGGCCTTGACCGACGAAGAGGTAGACGAGCTGCTCAGAGAGTGCCGTCCAGATGAGGTGGGCCGCATCGTGTACGAGGGCTACCGAAGGATGCTCATCGATCCGTCGCTCTGAATAAGCTTGATCAGGCGGTTGGTTGGGCGCCAGGGTAGATGCACGCACTCGCACAAACAAGCAATCGCGGGACGCCACCGCCGGCGTATGTTCGGCTGCTCAACAAGGCCTTCCCACCCCGCCCGAAGCGGGTTATATTGATGAGAAAGAATGTTGTACCTCGTGTCCAGATTAGTACGGGGTAGCCGATCAACTTCTTGTCAAGTGCGTACGGTGGATGCCCAATACGTGAGCTACCGGTGGGTCTGTACCCCAGCCTCCCGGATAGGCAGGCTTCGAAAGTGAGCAGCGGGTTTCGAGAAAAATAAATTATCGGCTTAACGACCCGCCTAGACATCGCACTCGAGGTCGATGGAACTCTGGGAGGCCTTCCAGCGATGCCATCACTTTTCTGTCGCCGACCCGCCCACAGCACATGAAGCGAATATTGTTCCGTCGTGTCTTCAGTACAACCTATTCGCGGCAAGGGATACAGAACGCCGACGCCTCCGTCATGGCCGGTCTCCTCTAGAACCCTACAACCAACACCACGCAACAAACAGGGCGGAATGAGGGCGGACGCAAACAACAACGACACACGTTTCACCTCCCCGGGGGTTCACGTGTGTCACGCCTCCTTGCCCAGACCAAGTATCCGCACAACTAATGGTCTCTTATGGCCCCTTGCTCGCCTCAAGCTTTCGAAGCTCTCCAAGGCCGGTTTTCTTCTCTTTGTACATATACGCGTCGGTCTTATTCGGGGCAGATCGCAGGGAGAACCTTAAAAGGCTCAGCCAATATCATCCGCCCCCGTTCGCCCCTTGGCCGCCAACAACAGCTTGGCCCTGGTCCACAAGAAGCGTGCGGCCCACATCGCCAGCAAACCGGCTAACTCGACGGTGACCAGACCGATAACTCCGTCCCTCAGAAGTTCCCAGGTCGTGACCCGCTCTCCTTCCCAGACAAGGAACGACGCGACGATTACCTCCATTGCTGCTGAGCCCAGCCAGACGAGCCCATTGCCGAACGCACCGAGGTACGGCAGCCGACCTTTCGTCAGGAAATACTCCGTAGCTAACAATTCTGCCAGGGCACCCACGGCCGCGCCGCCGGCTGCTGCCCACACAAGCCAAAACGTCGCCACCTCGGTGGGGTAGCCTTTCCTGTAGGCGTAGAAGCCGGGGAGGGAGAGCAGCACCGATGCCACTGTCACTACCCCACAAGCGGCGGCGGCTGACGCCGCCGCGAGGAGAAGGGTGCCGCGGGACGGGTCCTTCAGGTACCGGAAGCCCACCACCAACTCTATTAGCTGGCTGCCCAGAGCTACCACCAGAGCAGTCACGGTAAGCTCGGCTGTGCCGGTAGGGTTTGCCGGCCAACACTCGGAACGACCGATCGTTGGTATGAAGGAATACGGAAACTCGACTTCGACTGCTCGCGCTAGGCAGCCAGCGTAGTTCGAAACAACGCCGCTCGAATTTTGGAGAGCCACCCAAGAACAGGCAGGCGCATCAAAAACAATATCGGTGGAGCAGCTACACACCTCCAGAAATGACGAAGTGTCCCCGGAATTTGTGGATTCGCAAGGGTCGTAGTCACCGCCTAAACCTGTTTCACTCAGGAACATATCCGAATCGATCCGTTGGCTGCACACCTCCTGCGTGACAACGCTAAGCTGTTGCATAAACAAAATTCCATCCTCATCGCAATTGGCCTGACCATCCAGACCCCCCGCTTCGACGGCTTGCCGGAACGCCCAGAGGGTCGCAATCAGCTCCAGAACGATTCCGGCTGCTAAGCATGCCCCAGAAATTATGAGTCCACGACGGCTCCGGCCGCTAATGTCACTGCGATCAATTCCGCGGCAGCCTGAAATTCGTCCCAATACGTGCCCTTTTCCATTGGCGGTGTCGCTCGTATTATCTTGTCTCCCATCGGTGCTCTTGTTACTCTTCTTGGACGGTGACAGGGCGACAGAAGCTTCTTCCATGTAGCAGCCTTTGATACCCGCCCTTTTGGAACAGCATTGAAGGACGTTCATGAGCAACATGGTGAGGGTATGAAGGGCAGGATTGTTCGTTGTTGAGCGGTGATAATTATACTGTAGACACCATGTGTGTGTATGACGTAGTTTAAAACAAGTTTTCACCGGAGCGTATAGTCCCCATGCCCGAGCGTTGTCAAATACCCTCCGGTGACCTGACGACTGTCCTGAAGCACCCTAAGGCTTGCAATCATTGCTGGAATCAACTGGAATTTCATCTTGGAAATTCGCACGTCCCCGGAAAAACTGGTTGCGCCTCCTGAAGGTGTCTCCTTGACCCTGCTCTTGGTGTTTGCTCAGTGCTTTGTGGTCTGCAGCTGTTCTGCATCTTTCGGCAAAGATAGGCCGGCATGTTCACTGCTGTGAGGGCGGCGCGCCGCCCAACCGCCGCCGGTGTCTCCGTTTCGTCTGGGGGGGATGCTGGGTGGGGCAAAATGACGCTGCATTTGTCGCGATTGTGTTCAACTGATGAACAGGCATCCCAAATCAAAGGTTCTTCTTCTACTGGAGGGTGGCCGTACATGCCCAGACTCACCTCTGTACACCACCTTGAGCGTTCTCTTCCTCTCCAGCCTGCCTCAGTTCGCCTCCCTGACAACACACGGGGCACAACACAACATGTAGCGTGTGGCCTACTCCCCGACGCCCCGCGTTCGCTTGGATCTTTAGCGCCGCCCAAATGACCCCGCTCGCCATGTCGAGGAGTTTTTCAGATCGCGGGACTGTCACTTTGGGTCGCGCGGAGCATTTTTCAAGATCATAAAACCAGCTAGCCAGTGTTGGATATTGGTCGGGCAGAAGGGTTCGATACAATACGCCCATCGCATCGAGAAAAAAACACAAATATCGAAATTTTGTTCGATATCCCGAAAATGGCTCGATACGTATCGAGTATCGATACTCGATATCGATACGGCTGTTTTGAAGGCCTCAGGTTACAAGAAGAAGAGCGAGCGTTTCGCAACTACACATACCCTGGCACACCCAAACCCTTATCTGAAGTATACAGCAGTGCGCAAGACGTGCGCGCATGGTCCGGCGGCATGGAAGTAGTGGTGTTGCCAGGTGCCAGGTGTGTGCAGTTGAACATCACGAGCACAACAACAGCGGGCACACGTTGTGATGATGTGATGTTGTTGCGCATACAAAACTGCATCGTGCAGAGGTTGGTTGTGTAGCTATGTCCACCAGATATATTTTACATTTTACAGCCAGTGTGCATGTGTGTATACACGTACACACTATAACACCGCCATACGGTTGCGGTCGAATCAGTGCAAGCTCGGCTGCGAGCAGGATTTCATTACAAAAAAACGCGGAAAAAACTCGAACACTTGGTTTTATATTATCTTACTACTTGTACCTTCAAAGTTATGCATGCAAAATTCCACCCACCAGTAGTGGGTGCCCAACAATTAGCAGTGCACCTCGAGCGAGTATCAACTCTAGACACCCAACAGCCAAAAGGAAACAAAAGAAAAAACATGGCGAAAACATTAGTCTATGTGCGAAAATCAAACGCTTGCCAAACTTGAACACGACCACATAATAATAACCTCTATTCATCACACGCCCAAGTGGTCGGACATGAAATCAAGCACACCTTGCCATTACGTATTACAAGTCCCAAAACCAAGTTCACACAGCATAAATTGTCCGCAAGAGGTACGGCCTCTGTTGGCACTAATGTAGTAGCTCTACTGCTGAAACTGCGGGAAACGCCAAACCTACGTAAGGAGGCAAGCTGACTCTAACGGGGATGACTGCTACTCATTCGGCAGAGGCAGCGCTATCGTCGGCAACAAAGCCTAATTCTTGAAGGCTCATGTTGCACACCGATCGATGTGGTTCTCAGGAGCTGAGACACAGGCACTGTTGGTGTGGTGTGTGGCTGGCAGGGGCTGGTGTGTGTGTGGTGTGTGGTTGTGATGGCAGTGGGGGGCGACAGGAGTAGGCGCGTAGGCGCCGGAGCGAAAAAAGGGGGTAGACAGCTGGGAAACTGACCCCCCCCCCGGTAAAAAGGGGGCCAAAATATCGAATATCGAATACCGATATCGATACCGATACCGATTCGTATCGACAAATATCGGCGTGGAAACCGGCAATACCGATACTGCGTATCGTCGATGTATATCAGTTTTGTATCGATATTCGATACCCAATATCCAACACTGCAGCTAGCCTACTTTGGCTGTGTCTCTGCATGCTGCTTGTGTGTGGCGTTTGGGGTTCGGGGGTGGCTTAATGGGGAAGCAAGGACTTCAAGGAGTTTGGTGGAGTACACTACAAGCAGTCATTGTCCGCACCCGCGTGTGGCGACAACAACTGGGGGCACCATCATGTGAAAACCTTCCTCTGCGTGTGAGAACAAAAAGGCGTGTGCGTGCCGCCACCGCTCGCGCCCCCACAACGTCCCTGCCATATTTATTTGCAAATGCGGTCCACATCTTCCCGAGGGACGATCCAATGTTATGTATGTATTCAAAGAGCTGAGCTGCATACCTTCCATATCATCGCGAGAGATGTCTGGCTCAGCAATTAATTGTGTACTCCAAGTAGGTTGGCCTTTCGAGAATGGCTGAATGGTTGAAACGGTTCTCTAGGAACATGGGAATACTGTCTAGCCCGAAGGACAAAGTTGATCATTGCGGTGTGATTGTGTACTATTATCTTAGGCGATTAATATGCATTCACCACTCGACACCCGAGTCTGGTATCTACATAGAAGTACAACATATCACAACGAAGATGTGACGACAGTATGGCACGATGACTCTGAGAACAACGGCGGAATTGTTCTTGCCCATTTGGACACTCCTTCGACACGTCGGGATCGGTGTGGTTTTGAACTGCATCCTTAGAAGCGTCAGAGGGGGCAGAAGGCAAAGACACCAAAGCAATAATGCCAGCATCAACAGAAACGGCATGGCAGGTTGCGGCTTAACTTCATTCACCCTTTAAATAACTCCAATCTGAACCATTGGGATTGTATTCGGTGTCGCTGTTGAAGACCAGTCGAAAACTGACTACCCGTTGAGAGTTGTAGAATGGGACCAGAACGATACGGAGTGTTGGTGCCGTCAGGCAAGCATTTTTATTGTAGCCACCAAGCGCGCTTTTTCGGGCGAACCCAAAGCCTCATCTACCAGGGAGGACAAACAAGCATCATACCATCAACTTGGCAGCCAACCAACGTGAAACATTCAAATAAACTTTCAACCCTCTCCCTCGATGTGTCGTCGACAGGGAGAAAGGCAATATAAGTAGGTTACAGGTTGCCCGCATCGCAACAAAAAAAACGTGCTGCTCCTGCTCCAAGCTCATGTATGCAGCAGTTGTTGTCACGTCTACATGTCGGGACAGACACCGGTTGAGTCCCCCCTGATTCAACCGCACTCCTTGCCGATCGCCCCGCCGCCTTTTGGAAAATGAACAACGAGAACATACCCGTTCAGATTTAACTATTTGAAGGTCTACTACAGTCGTGACACGCTTTGCTCGCGGGGTCAGGGAACGAGGCCCAGCGCCGACTAGCCGTGTTGAAAGCTTCAACTGCCCCCATGAATCGTCTCGAAACGACCATCAGCACCACGGTTCTCCCACTCTCGAAAAGCAAGACGTGACGCTACACGAGCCGGGCTGCCTACCGTACACGTGTACCCGAGCTTAGTTAAACAGCCACACGGCACAGACGCAAGAGTAACTGGGAAGAGGGCGCAGCGTAGGGCAAGCCGGCATTTCGGGTAGGGGGCAGGCAATACGAAGCCAAGGTAGCCCCTGTTGCCACCAAACCCCACATCTCATTTACATGAAGCCGGCTTGTGGTGCCCTCGGTCGTAACATACCATAACTAACGGCCCCGCCGACTTGCCGTCAAAAACCGGTGGGGCACACAAGAAACGAAGGTCAATGTGCAGAAACAAAAAAAGGACGGAGAGTTCAAGTCGTCCCAGCTCCGCCCCTACAACGAAGAGGGGGACACAAAAAATACTTCCTTCACACCAACACGGTTCCTCCCCTTATCCAACCACCACCCGCGTCATGTCTACATAATTCGCCAACTATCTTCCAGCAACCCAGAAGTGCTCCCCCCCCTCCCTGCCGCCCAATCAAAATCACATCGCCATGCTGGCCTCGAGCTCCCGCAGTGCTCGAGCGTCCTCGTCCTCCTCCACCGCTACGGGCGCGCTGACGGGGGTTGTCGACGGCACCGATGGCAACTCGTACCCTTCGGGGACCTTCGATTCGGCGACCGCCGGCTGCTCGACTCCCTGGGGCGCCGCGGGCCGCGCCGTCGGCACCGCGGGGGGTGCGAGGAGCTGCTCCTCGAGGTCCGCCTCCTCAAGCATGTCTAACTCTTCCAGGAGGGCGTCGTCGTCAAAGAGGTCGTCCGCCGGCCTCGCGATCGCGTCCCCGATCTGATTGATTGTTGGGTGTGACGCCGGGTTGGGTGATCGGTTTGTGTTGGTTTGAATGGGGGTGATATTGGGTGACTTTTGAGGGGACTCGAGATTTGAAGGCTGGGTGTTGGGGATTGTGGTGGCGAATGATCCGGTTCAACAGGTGTTTTGGTTGGTTGTGGGTGCTCCCACAGGCCACTGAAGCTAGACCGGCACTACATCGGGACAAAAACGCACCGAATGTCCCGCCGCGTCCTACATACATTTGTGTTCCTTTTCGTCTGACACAAGACACGGAGGGGCAAGTAACCAGGCACATTAAAGACAGGAAATGGGCGTCGGTATGACAACTCTTACGCATATTCCATCGGCAAGCGCAACAGGGTGCAGCTGGAATCATCCTCTCAGTGACTTGACGTGGCGTGTCGAGGCAGTGCTCTTCGTTTTGTGCGCAAAAAAAAAAAATATATATATATGTCGATATATGTATGACGCCCCGAAACAAATGCGGTGCAGGAAAAAAAAAAAACATCACGAGTATCGTTGGTGGTAATCGCCACGACCACATCGGCAGCAGTGGCAACAGCAACAACAACCACGCACCTGCTCCGCGATGTCCATCTCGTCCTTGATGTCGTCCATCACATCATCCACCTGGTCAACGTCCAGACGCCCCCTAGCGTCCTGCATCGCCTTCGCACCGCTCCGCATCGCGTTGAACGTCTGCATGTTCATGTTCGACCCCTCTAGAGCGATGATCTGGGGGCGTGGACAGGACAGTTCCACACGCGGCGGACAGCAGTAAGCGGAGGGGTGAGAAAAGGGGAGTGCAGACTGGGGGACAGGGGAGGTGGGGAACAGCATTGAAACGCGAAGCTGGAGCCTGCCTGATCGATCGACACTCGAAAGACGAAACGCTGCGGCGGGGCGACAAAGGAGCAGGAACACTTGCCGATAAATACCTGCAAGCCCACGGGGGCGAAATTTTTATGCCTCGCGCCCGTGGCCAAGCTCGTGATGTTGGAAGCAAGCATGAGACCAAAGCACCACCACCAACCTTGCTTTGAAAGGAGCATGGTTCAAGATCAGGCACCGGTTATGAAACCGGACATGTACAGCTCGCCAAGTCTGGGCTACGTTCCACGCCACAAAACAATCCTTTTCACATCATGCTGAAGGTTTGCAAGCCTTACTTGCTTAAAGGTGATTCGTTCACAAGCTCCCGGAGTTCATAGATGCACAATCTTCGCTGCGCTTCTCTTGACTAGCACCCCCCTGCCTGTCAAGAGAGGGTAGTACACCACTATGCAGCCGCTAACACCCCGGAGACCCTCTCGCTTGCCACAAGTCTGAACACAAACAACCAAACAGCGGTTTAACCGCATATTGTAGCTCTCGGCGGAAATAAGCTCAGACAGCACAACGCCAGCTCTCCTCCATCACCAGCAACGTAAACCCGTACTCACAGGCATACGGGGCTCGACTTGGCGTTGCCTTCACCCACCCACCTGGCTCTCCAGCGTCATGCGTGCTCCGTTGAGCTTGTTGACTTCCCCTTCGTACATCTTCTTTCTCTTGAGGGCGAACAGGGCCCCTCTCTTATCCTTCGCGCTGCTTTTCGCCTTGGCATCAAGCAGCTGCGCCTTGATCTTCTTCTGAATGTGGTTTTCCCTATATTTCCGAGTACACAAAAAGTAAAAGAAAATGAAGGTCTCCGTGTTATTTTCTCCTGTGTGACACCGGCTTGTACGTCAAATTCATATTCCGAAAGATGCAGACTGGCGCCAGAACAGGTGGGATTAGCGTTATGGCTGATCGCTGGACCTGTGTCACAGGAGTCTGACAATTAAGGCGAGATGTGTGTCTCCTACGCACAGCACCGGCAATTGCTCGTTTTGTGTGGGTGCGGCTTCATCTTATGTGGAATCACACTGATTCCAAGGAGAACTGTACCGCATGCATACCCAAACGTGATAGGGCATTAGAAGCATCCAATAATAACACATTTTTTTCGATAAATTCGTTCGAATATTCAGCGGCCATGACCGTTTTTTTCTATCCCACAACTCCACTGCCGTAATTGGCGGCATCGCAACTCCATACTATTATACAATGTATCAGATGAAGCCTCTAGGACGCATGGGAGTACAACATTAGCTTCACGGACACGAGCCGCATTCGGTGGAACCCAGTTCTTCAGAGGCTCTACAAACTTCGGAAGACGAGGTGGTCGCGCGGCTTTTCAGCGCTGCCAGCGGTCCCAGTTTGAACCTCACAACGATAGCAGCCCGAAGTCGCTTAGCAAGTGATGTGCTGTGGAGAACAGCGACTACTTGTACCGCTGTATATGCGTCGTGAACACCAGCTCGGCCTCCGTGTGGCCGGCAGACGAAACATCGTTTCTGAGTCGGACGAGGCGGATATATTGCTGAGAAAAGCTGTACACAGCGGAACCCAGAGAGCGGCAATTGCTTTGGCGATTGTTGCTCTCTCGATGCTATATCACAAGGTAACCTCTACAGAACATCACACCCGGTGATACTATTATTGAAACGCCAAACATGTACAAGTGGCAAAAAAAAAGCAAAAGGTGTCGGAAAACCACTTTGAAATCACCAGGGGGTGTTATCTTGTTTGATTACTGCATGCATCTGGAATGACCTCACCAGTGCGTCGTGAAGAGGCCACAAAATAAGTAAGGTTTCACTGGTCACGAGCTGTCCCATGGGGCAAAATGTATCTGTACCCAATCGGCCCATCAAATGTGGGGGCCAATCTTCACCTTCGGTAAATTGTTGACGCATCAGTAGGGGACATACTGGAGGAACGCAAAAACTGGATTGCATTCTCCATCCCTCCTTCCCCATAACATGCTTTGCCCTCGATCATTAACGCGGAGAGAGGGTTCGTTCAGCACAGCACTAGTCTAAAATATCTCTCCTGTGTTTGCTCGTGACTGCTGTGCGCTTTTCGCGCACATGAAAACAGCGTTTTTTTCACTCCAGAGAAATTCGGCCCCGCAACGTCGAGGGTCAAGGTCCGAGGTCGCCGACTGCCTTAACAATGGGAAATATGATGTTCACATGCATACACTGCTGGCAAGTAGTTCGCACATTTCGAAAGGTTAAGTTTATACGTGTACATCGTGCGGATCATACTAAAGAACGCGTAACCTGGTTGCTTCGGTTCAAGAGCGCAAATCTACAGGAAAAGAACATCGGCAGCTCTGCAACCGTAGATACGGCGGAGAAATCTTGCAAATTTAACAGGCTACGGCAGTCCACAGAAGCGATCGTACCGGTGTGGGCTGGAAAGGGGTTAAACTTATGCCAGCTGATGATGCACATGTGGTAAAAAATCATCCTTGCCACATCCGTCCAACCAACGGCTATTGAGTCTCATCCTGGAGCGCAAGAAAATTTATTCACAATCCGCCGCGCTGTCTCGTGTGCTTCCAAGTGTTTCTCGGTCACGCGGTCCTCTCGCTTCAGATAAAGAAACTCACATAACAGGGCCCCATATCGAACAGAAACGAGCCATGCTCTCCTCACCAATGCGTGCGGGGATGCCGTCGACGCACTGGGTTTGGTTGCTACAGCAGCACAGCTCCCGTGCTCATGCTTATTCGCGGTTTTACAAGTAGAGTACGTGTGGACTGCAAACAATAATGTTAGTGTTCAGCAAAAGACCGCCGCAAAACCAAAGGCCGTTTTATAAATGCACGCTCGTGTCACAGAAGGGCATCACCAGGCCATAGAAACGTAGGTGTTGTGTGTGACAACGGTTTCACAGGTCTAGCGTGTCAATTCCGAAACCCTGTTCTACATCAACCCCGCGGGCTTCACAGCAGCTGGTGCCCTCTCGACAGATAGTTGCCCCGGTTCTTATATCAAAAGAACCAGGACGGGTTGTATACCTTGCGAACCAACTCCTCTTTGAGTTCGAAGCTGCCCTCACCTCTTGTCCAAGGAGTCCAGTGTCTCCCTGAGCTTGAGGATGGTGGAGGTGGTGTCCGCGGCCTGCGGCTTCGCTTTTGCTTTTCCAAACAGATTCATCTTTCCTCCGGCAGCGTCCAAAGTTACAGCAGCAGCAGCAGCAGCTTCAAGAGTGCGAATTTACACGCGCAAAACAGGCTCCTCCACCTAAACCCTCGTCAAAATATGCAGTGGTTTGGTCTTGATAAGGCGTGCTGTTGAATTTCTTGTCCTCGGCAGATAGAGAGAGCGTGGTGTGTGGCACGCCGACGAGTGCACCTATCCTGTATCTGGAACGGCAAGTGGTAGACAGTAGAACTCTCTCCGACAAACTTGGGCACGCGGGGCTCCGTGTGTGTTTGGTCCTACCTCAAAGTTGACATTTTCATTTGTGTGCCCCCTCCCGACTGCGATCAAGCGCTGCACGGCCCTTCAGTCCAGTCGCTGTGTGTTGCCGCCGATACCATGAGGACCGCTGCGGCTTGCCTGGGGGCGTCCTTATCCCTGTATGCTGTTCCATCGCGAGGCTTCCTTCCGCCTGGTAGACCAACGCTTGCGCCTTCTCGATCCGCGGTTGGAACCGGACATGGCAGCAGCAGCAGCAGCAGCAGCAGTAGCAGCGCAAGGTATGCATTATGGTGTACGTAAAACATGCTACCGCAGCCGTACGTGAAGGCCGCCGGCCGACACAACCTGTTGCGATGGCCAAATCCCCATTGGCTCCCTGGTCTCATGTCATGAGCAGCTTGGAAACCTGTACGTAAGCCTCTGCCAGCTGCAGTGTGTGAACAAAGTTGCTGTTGTGGTCTAAGCGGTGATCCTCGGCTGTAAGTCGCTGAGCCGGAGTACTGGGCAGCACCAGGCAACGAGCACCCACCCCGAACACTCTCCTGCACACCCGCCATTGTAGTGCGTCTCTATTGAGCGTGGAAGTGTCGTGGTCGGTCGGTGTATGCAGATAAGATGTTGTTGTTGTTGTCCTGTGTCACTGCTGTGTCTTTCGTGCCTTGAATGCGATGGTTGATGTTTTTGCTCAGTCAGACGATGTTCACGCGTACACACTGACTGGTATACAGGACACAACGGGCATGAGGGGCAAGAGAGAGGCTGAACACAGAGTGATCGCTGTAGGTGTACTCTTAGGCACTTCGGCCTCGACCCGTGGGTGCGATCGCTGGACTGCAGTCGCAACCGGGAAACAAATCGCGCCCCTCCTTGGACATGTCACATCATATCACTAATGTACCTGTTTGGTCGAGCTCCCCAACCGCCACGGACGTGTATCCGCAAGCGAGGGTTTGCACCTGGAGGTGCTGACACGTCATCAGCATCGACCACGGAAAGATCTCGACCGATTTTCCTATCAACTGCTGTGTATTTCGGCGTCTGGGCCCTGTCCCTCGTCTCAACATCGTGCGGACATCGCTCGTTAAGATTCCGGCAAGGGCGGACGGGTCACGAGAGGAACGACCAATAACTCGGACAATTTCTCCACGATGCAATCCCTCCGTCGTTCTCCGAAGACACAACAGCAGTCCAGCAGCGGTGTAAGGGATGCCCAGTGTCCACGCTGGTGGATTCGTAGAACCTCCCCCGCCGCCAAGAAAAGATTCGCTCGTTTGTGTCCGACCTTACACGTGACCCTTCTGCCCGCCGTCGCCTTGGCTTTGATCCGCCGCACCTTGTTGTCCCGCTTTCTTCGACGCAGTAGCGCTCGGTCCAGGGGCGGGGGGCTGCACATGTCCCTGGGATTGAGAGACGGTGACGTTTTCTGGGCGAAGGAGCTCCGGCTGGGGATGGAGTGAGTACAACGGCGCATGGAAAATAATTCCTTGTGCTGACCTGCCAGATACTAATATGTAAATAATATCTACGTGAAAATTTGTTCGGCATGGCCACGCGTACGATAAAAAATCCACGGTCCATTTCGATTTTTGCGTGCGCCCTGCCGCTGCTATTTTGCGCCGACATGCCATGAAGGGCGAGGAGCCGCACACGCGGAGCAGCGCTTATTTTCCTTCAGTTTACGGTTCAGCGGCTTTTGATGTTGCTGAACGGTTCTGTTTGGTTTCTTACCCTTTCCTGGTTGGCTTAATTCCCGTTGTTCGTTATGATTTCGCCTCCCTTTTTTTTTGTTTCGATTGCTTGTGTTTTTGTCGCTGCCTTGTTGTCCGGCAACAACAATAACAATAACATACGACGCCACCACCACCACCACCAACAACCTCGACGACGACATCAATAACACAACAGGTACAGCCGGCTAGGGAAGAGCGACCTCGTGGTTAGCAAGGCGTGCCTTGGCACGATGACGTGGGGGGAGCAGAATAACGACGAAGAGGCCTTCGAGCAGTGCAACATGGCCTTCCACGAGTTTGGCGTCAACTTCATTGTGAGTATCGTGTTGACCCGAATATGCACCCTCAAGCTGTGAGTTTCATGCTCTTTTTTTGAGTACGCAATGCTGTGCGGAGGAATTCGCCTCATTTCAGCGTTTTTCGACTCTTTGCGAAGGGCAAGGAGTGAATCTACACGCAAGCTAGAGGAGAGTACTGACGCAAACATGTACCACCTAGTTGAAGGAAGCTTCAGATGGGCGGTTACAGCCCCTGGCGTAACTGGAATGAAGCGAACGTTTGTTAGCGGGGGCTCTTGCAACGGGCGTGGAGTGAATCTACACGCGAGCTAGAGGAGAGTACTGACGCAAAGATGTACCGCCAGGTTGAAGGAAGCTTCGAATGGGCGGTTACAGCCCCTGGAGTAGCTGGGCGCGTACTGCGGCACTTCTCCATTGAGAGGGATCCCTACCAACGTTGGGAAATGTTTTCGCGCCGCTCCCGGCCACCCTCGAACTCGGCTCGTTCTCGTTTTTGATCTGAATGAAAATGAAAGGATGCGGCGGAAATGTACCCGGTGCCACCCAAGCCGGAGACGCAGGGTAGGACGGAGATAGCCTTGGGAAAGTGGCTCAAGTCCGTCGCGAGGCACAACGTAGTTGTGGCCACCAAGGTGAGGAAAGCACCTCCTCGGACTGCTCAATCGGCCATGCTTCCGTCCATTGGATCCTGTTACGTGGGAAACTTGCGAGTGCACAGCTGTACGTTAGGGTGACGGCAACGAACATAGCGTTAGACGAATTGTGTGTTTCAATAGTCGCAGCGGCTCTTTTGTCCAGTCGATAACGAGAAATGAAGCAATGTTGGTGATGGCCCCCCAGAATATGGACTCTCCCTGAGCATAGCACAGTCTGCCCAATCGCGCCCTCCACCCAACCGGGGGACGTTCATCCAATCGCTCTCTATCTTATTTGCCGGGTATAATTGTCCATGAGATGTCCTCACGTCCGTCTCCCTTCCCCCTGCAAGGGTGTCGGGGTATAATCGCGTGTCGAGCTGGCTCTATGGAGGGGGGACACCTGTTTGGATCGTTTTTTTTTCTCTCTGTCCATGCACGTGTCCGTGTGTCTTTCTTCCTCTTGCTTGGGCTACCATCTGGTACTTTGGCTCCGAAACGTTTGCGCCCTTGATTGATGCTTCGCGCGGAATGCAAATATTCGGGCATGTCTCGCACCGAGAGGGTTGTTTGGCCACCATTTACTATCTTGTTTTTGTTATTCATTGCGTTTTTTTGCTCTGCACGACTCTCCTCCCCCTTATGCATCGTGCCACTTTTGATGTCTCTGGCGATTGTTTTGTTGCCTCGGTGACGTGGAGGTGGCCGGTAGGAGCGACAGATTGACGTGGCTAAGGGACGATGGGAAAGGCACGAGGGTGAACCGAAAAAATATCATAGAGGCGGTCGACAAGTCTCTCAAGAGGCTTGACACCGACTACATCGACCTTCTTCAGGTGCGGCGTTATTCTTGCTTGTTTGTGGGTGTTTATTTTCGTCACGCGCGTGTGCCTGGGTACCTACACATGCCTGGATGGTGCAGCTTGTACTTTCGCCGCCTCTCGAGAGGCTTATCCTCGACGTCATTTGACCTACGAACGGGCATCAATTGTATGTTTTCATGTTTGTGTCTTCGTCAAGCTGGGCCGTGGCCGAAGCTTTACGCGAGTTGCGTGCGTACTGTTCATGTGCAGCACATTTTTTCTCGGACTTGGCGATTTCCTTTGTTTTTCACGTGGTCGGACGCACAGTTGGCCATGTATTGGTGTCCTCGATCCAGGGTTGAACCCCGAGGACATTGATCGAACTTCCCCAGGCGACTGTTTGCCGTTCCCCCATCACGCGAGGTCAACGCCGGTTTATCATGCGAGGGTTGACCCTCACCTTTCCTCTTTGACCCCATTCGACCTTCGTTCCTCTATTTCTGCCTGTCGACGTTGGTCCTCCAACGAGGTGACAGATCCACTGGCCGGACCGTGCGGTGCCTTTGTTCGGGGCCAACGAACGCTACGACGTTGCGGTACGAAGATGAGCCTCGTTTGCCACCGGCGGGGGGTGTACTCATAGTCGTGCATGCCGTAGTCGTTAGACCATTGACCTCGTTTCCCTACAAAGCCGGGACGGAGCACGCCGGGTTCTCACCGGACCAGGCTCTCGCATCACCAAACGCGAAGCACCGTGAGGTATTCGGCGAGTCGCATGAAGGGTGCGGTGCATCCTGCTAAGGGTTTTAGGCATCGTGTGCTTACTTCTTTGCGTACGAATGACAGCTGCGTATGACTTGAGTTATTTTCTGGTGCTTTCACTTCAGAGACTGTTGTAAGCACGGTGTAACTGCCTCGAGGGTGCTTGGCCAATTTAATACAACGTGGTGCGATCATCCCCTTTGCGCGGAGTGAGGGTTCTCGACCCCGCACAACATGATCTACTCGATCACCGTTATGGTTGCCGCAAAACAAATTAACAGAGGCAAAAAAAAAGCTGTAACCTGGTTGCCGAGCTCACGAAGTGATCGGCCTGTTTTTCAATATCGCTGCCAAGCGACGAATACCCAACCCCGATGGCAAACACCGGGGGGGGGGGTTGGGTTTGTCACGGGGGGAGAGTAGAGACTGTATCGTTGTGTGGTAGAGGGGGGACTGCTCATCCTCCTACATGACGAGCTCATGGTTGTGGGTGGGGGAAGGCGCGGCTTTGTGGCCTTGGTATCCCCTGCGTTCTCCAAGCTGTGGTTTCTGACGAAACTCCGTCTCTTTGTTTGTCTGGCGTTGACGGTGTTCGCCGTTCTTGGCCGTGACGACGGTGATGGCGGTGTTGACGGTGTTGATTGTTAACCTCTTGTCTCTTGTCTCACCTCGAGCAGAAAGAACAAGATGACGACACATCCTTCGAGGAGCAGCTGGAGGTCATGGACGAGCTTTGCCGGGCAGGGAAGGTAAGAGCTCTGGGGGGGGGAGTGATTGGCTCTGCTCTCGTTTGGATGGTGGGAAAGAAGCCATGTTTTGTCTCACGAACCCGAGCCTCCTTGGCGGCGTGGCGTTCATGCAAGTGAAATTGTGTTGGCGTTGGATAAACCATGTGCATCGTTTCGCCTTTTGTGTTTCGTCTTTCGAAATCTTCGAGTTTTTGCGGTGGTGAGGCTTCTTCTTCCCTGGATCCACCGCTGTTTCCGAGGAGTTGTGTTTCTGTGTGTCTTCCCGTGGTTCACTAGCGAAGCTTGCCGGCCGTCCTGTGGCTGTTGCTCTTGTTGCCACGGCCGCTGTTGCCGACGCGCCTGTCGCCGAAGGTTCGTGCAATCGGCACGAGCAACGACACTCCGTATGGCATCACCAAGATGGCGCAGCTTGGCGAGCGATTGGGCTACCCACGAGTAGCTTCGGTGCAGGTGAGGACAGCTCCAACGCATGCATATGCGGCACCGTGGTAGAATTTGTTGCGAGTTCGTTAACCTGGCCCCCTTGCTTATCTCGGTAAAGCTTGGCCTCGTGTGAAGTGTTTTCTTTCCTTTTTTTGTTTTGGTTGGTTTTCTGGATTTTTTTCACTGGGTTTCGTGTAGAGGTGCCACAAGGGCTGGTTCCTTGAAGCACCCCAATCAGAAGGAAGTCGGGCAAGTCTATGACATCCCTCCTGGGATTCCGTCAAAGCGTTCGGTTGTTTTTCCAGCGTCGTCTCAACCGCCCTGAGTGATTTTCGTTTTTTTGCTGCATGGGCGGCGCCTCGAGCCATCCCACCTCGTCGAAGGCCTACTGGTATCAATGAATCGTCTCCGTTGACGGGGGCCGAGTCCCTCCCTTGTTGTGGTGTCTTCGTCTGGGGGGGGCGGGGGGCGATGAGTTTATGAGTTGCCCAGACGCGGATGCCCCCCTCTATTCGGCCTCTCCGTCCGGCTTCGCCGTCCACTCACACGCTCTCCGCGACGACCACATTTCACGTGCGGGTTGGTTTCTATTTTTGCCTCCATTCTCACCCCTTCCGATTCAACTCGAGCCCGCTTTCCCACGCGATACACTACGCCCGGATGTGAAAAGAATGACCGCTTCGTTTTCCGGATCAGTGCCATGTTCCCCCTCGGTCGGCGAAATCACCTTATACTTCCCCGTTGGCGTGAATATCGCCCCGAAGTGGTTGTGACCACTGCCGTCGTCCTCAATTTGTCCATCTGGCGTGTGCTCACTTCGACTTTCTCCCCCCATGTGTTCGGTGTGATAACACTCGTGCGTCGGTGTGCAGAACAACTACAACATGCTCTCCCGCGCGGATGTGGAGCTGAGCAGCATGCCGGAGACTTGCTCGAGGGCGAACGCCGATGTCAGCTACCTCGCATACTCTCCGTTGGCCGGCGGGTATGTTGTTGTTGTCTACGTCGCTACGGTCGCTGTTGTGAATATGTTGCACTTTGCGACACCGTTCATTGGTATTCTACTGTTGTTGCCGAAGTCTGTGCTTAAGTTTCTTGCGTTGGCAGTCATTGACATCATTCGACTTCCTGTATACCTTGGCTACCCATGTGACACTTGTTGATGCTTGTTCACTCGGTGCTTTGGTTGAATGCAAAATCGGATAGTTGCGCTATTGTTGTTCACCGGAGCATCAAGTGGGGTCGTGTCAGCCCATGTGCCCATACTCTCAAAGGAAACGGGTGCGCATGACACGCGCCTGGTGGTATCTGCTTTCCGGGGATTCCCGGAACTCGTTGCCGCGGGGGGGTACAGGCCGCAGAAGTGCGGTGGCACGCAATGCACCTCTGACAATGACGTAGGTGGATGTTGAAGCACCCTAGGCGATCGGGCCGCTGGGAACATGCATGTTTGTTCGCAATCACTCCCAAGCACACAGAAGTTCATGTTTATAAGCCTCCCCATCTGCTGGCCCGTTTTGCTGAAGAATACCCCGTGGTCAATGGTCTAACCGCTATGGCGTGCAAAACATGAGTACGCCCCCCCTCCCCCCCCCCACCCGAACGCGATGCATGCGTGACTGTCCATGACGCTGGCTGCCCCCCCCCACAACCCAGGGTATTGAGCGGCAAGTACTTGGATCCTGATGTGCCAGTCCCCGACGCCCGGCTGAACAAGTTCCCGGGGTACTATGCCCGCTACAGGACGCCCGAGTGCATCGAGTGCACAGCTAGATACGCCAAGATTGCCGCTGACGTGAGTGAGCCACCGACGTCTTCACCTTGGTGTTGTCGTGCAATGAGTCAACACAACACACCACAGCTGTCGTAGTTGGTGATGTCGCTGCTGTTGTTGTGGTTTTGGTCAGTACTGTGTTCTTTTTTGCAGCTGCTGTGTTTACGTAGGTTGGTGGAATTGTTGTGGCCGCGAGGGTCGGTTTCTAGGTGGAGTATTCTTTGCCACGTGGCTGCATGTGTCAACGTATCGTGATGGAGTCGGTGTAGTTGATGATGATGAAGTGGGGTTGTTGCATGATTTCGCGTTCACTCTTACCTTGCAACCCTTCCGCGTAAGGCCATATGGTTTTTCTTGGCGACTTTTGCTGCACAACACACCCTCGTCTCTTGTGTGATTATTTCGTCGCGTTTGGAAGAGTTTCGAAACCAAGCAACGGCAGTAGCTGTGGCGATGTGCTCAGGTGTAATGTGTCTTCCGCCTTGTGTTCTTGCTTTCGAATGCCCCCGTGTTGTCCGTTCGGAACAGATCGGTCTCACCCCGGCGCAAATGGCCCTGGCTTGGGTCTACTCGCGCGAGTTCATCACGTCGACCATTGTGGGTGCGACGACCATCGAATCGCTGAGAGAGAACCTCCGGGCGCTGAACTGTCCCGTCACCGAGGAGGCCCACGAGAAGATCGTTGCGGTTCATGAAGAGTGAGTAATAGCACAGGGTGGCGGAAGTACCTCATTTGGTCTGTGATGTTGTTATTGTGCTTTGGGTGATGGTGTCAGGTGTTTTGCCCGAGCCAACAACGCAGACTAGTTTTTTTGCGTCGCCAACGAGCGCTACTTTTTGTTCGGTACACTTTTTCATTGTCGCAAAAATTATTGTTCGCCGAAATTCTTGGCAAATCTGTCCCTTCCCTGACACTGCTGTGGCACCAACTGTCGTTTCTTGTCTCGTTCGGGGAGCAGGTTCAGAGACCCCACCAAGACGAAGCGAGAGTTGCTGCCCAAGTTCGTCTTCAACAGCAGCAAGCTGCCGCCGCTAGAGAGAAATTGAGCCCCTCGTTGAGACCAGGAGGAAGTCAGCACGCAATATTTGCCCTTGTGATCGAGGCCTCGGAGCACCTTTTACAACGGAGGGGCGTGCTCGATGCTGGTGGTCGTGTGACCCCGCGTCTCGGTTTAGACGGAGCACCGTTCCTTAAGAAGTTTCCCTTCCTCCACCTTGAGTGCTTTTTTCCCGATGGAGTCTTTCTTGACACCTGTTTCGCTGTGGCAGAGGGGTGCCTGGGGAGATTGTCGAGATGCCGAACGTCGTTGATCGGCGGGAGGAGGATCGCTCCTTTGTCTGATTGCGAAAGTGCCCGTTGTCTTGTGCACCATCGGAGTGTTCGGGCGTTCATTAGGTGGATGTGCCCGTGCAAGGCAAACCCAGCTCAGCAGTTGCCTTCCGTTGAGCCCAACTACTGTGAGGGGAGGGGGTATAAGTATGCCGATTGACGAATTATTCCGACATTATTGCTGCGTGCCCGCCCTGCTCTGGCATGGCCTTGTCGCCAGTCTGGAGAGTCGTCACATGTGCCACCAACAATAGAGTTTTCTTGCCGCGAACCAGACTTGTGAGAGCCGGCGAGGCTTGAAAGACTTGGCCAGCATGACTTTGTTCTTGCCGCTGTATTTGAGGCCAAGATAGGCCGTAGCCGCTGCTGCTGCTTCAGGGTCCGCATGAACGTGCCTCACGTAGTTGCAACAGATTTTCGGAAATCTCAGCGTGAGACACTTGATCCGTGTCGTGTAGATCAGTGGGTGTGACAGCAGTGCATACTCTACAGCATCAGATGGTCAACTTGGTATCCCCGAGCGTCGCGGCCGTGCTGCTGGTCCTGTGTGCTAGGGCTTCACCAAGGGATGCGAAAAAAGTGACATTTGCAGAAGCGATAAACCTGTCGACTGTCGGAGATGAGCAGCAACAGGCGGAGGAGACACAAAATGCATCAACTGAGATTCCCAGTTTTGAACACGGTAAGAACCAGTGGTTGCCGCTGGCGTGTCGGCGATGATTGGCATTGGCTTGCTGTACCGACGTCGCAGAGCATGTAATTGTTTTAACCAGAACTTCCATGCATTGCGCCTGCCTACTACAGCCGCAGCACCTCAAATAAAAGGAGAGGGGGACCGTGCTCACCACATCAGGTACATATCTGTCGTTTCCGAGCGTCACAGCGGCTTCACGTGGATGACTAGTTTTCTCTGGGAATACTTTCGAGACAAGGATGTCATGGTCACCCCAACGCTCTGCACATGGAAGGTTTGTTCCGACCCGTGTTCGTCCCTCCGACGATGATTGTCATACGGCAGTTGGCGTGCTTGTGACGTCGGGTTTGTCGTTGCCATGATGAGGCCATGTCAAGCTCTTTGTGGACGGCAGCAGCACCGGCAGCAGCAACGCGTGCTGCGTGAGTACGCCATCCGCGAAGAGGGAGAAGACCAAATCGTTGGCAACTCTTGTTCCGTACGCGCGTCGACGCCTAATACTACAGCAGCCAACCTCGTCGGGTCCTCGCGAACGGCGACAAGGCGTGGTGACACCAACCAGAAGGGAATTTGTCTCGCAAGGGAGTCGAACTCGACACGCTCGGACAAAATTCTGATCGTCAAGCTGATTTAAGGCACCGCCAGATAACGGCACCGTACACCATTTTATCCTTCCAAGTTTCGTCGCTGGGTTTGCCGACGGAACTATTGTACACGTTTCCGACAGGTTTTCCGGAAGATACTCTGTACCAAATCACGAACTTGAACATCGGAGGATGGGCTTGTACAATGCGCTACTGATACACTCCTCGAGGTTTTGCCGCAGGATCTTCTTTGGTACAAGTGGCTTTGTCGTAGCATGATCTTCTTGACATGGCATTATTCTCGCGGAGGCGTTAGTACCTCCGCTTCGTCTCGTTTGTACTTGGGCTGTGTTTTCTTTTACGGCAAACGCACCATTGGTAATGCCTAGGTCGACACCAAAACCAAACACGTTTTCACAAGCAACCCGGTAGAAGCTCGCGTGGTACGGGGGCAAGTAGCAGGGTGGCGGCACCCTCTTGAAACCCATTTTCCTCGCAGCCTCTGCGTGTGTATTCAGTTGTTGATATTCCCCGTCTCCGCACACACGTACACTCTTCTTGTTGTCGTTCAGCACTGGTTCCAGGATCGCATACACCAAGACGTCCAAGATGGCAAACGCCCCTGCCGAGGAAATCAACAGTGCCCTGCGTGCTTAGACACCGAACACACCCTCGTGGTTGTCATGTGGCGGAACCCGTACGACTGGATCGGCGGGATGCATTCCAACCCGCACCATGCCAAGGTATCGAACAAGCGCAACTACAGACTTGGATGGGATGATGAATCGGTAGCTGGCCCATGAAGCAGAATGTATTGAGTTGGGATATTCAGAATGTTCTGTTCACTAAACAAGGACACACGCAGGGCCCGAGAACAATACCGCAGCCCGAAGACCGTGATAGAACCAGAAAATATCGACGTGTACTCTAGTCTTCGTACAGAACAGGCTGCCACTGAACAACTACCCGGCATGTGGTGCGGACTCAAAAACCGACAATATCTCTGCTCTTGAGGATCAAACCTTGAAAGAGAACCTGCAGCGGACTCGTGAAAAAGAGGCCGTGATATCCACCCCCCTTGCTCTAACCGCGGGGGAGCTGCTCAGGCACATCGTGGAGTACAGGACCTGGAGCAGTTCATGACAATGCCGTGGATAATGGGCCCAGAGGTGAAGAAAGAGCCCGCCGTGTTCATTACCCAGACGTTGTCCATGGAAGTCCACCTCGTCATGTAAATCCGGCTGTTTCTTGTGGCTGGTGCTCTTGCCAAGGATCTGTCTATCTGTGTGATAATGTGTTGTTGTTGCGGTTGTTGCTATTGCCCTCGTGGTTGTCATCATCGTCGTCCTCGTCGTTTTTTTGTTTGTTTTTGCTGCGGCCGTGTTGTTGTGTCGGTGTGTGTTGCTGTTAGTTTTCCTACATTTTGGTCTAATTTCCCCTAACTTACAAAAGCTGTTGTTTGCAATGTCTACCCTGGGGTCTACGTGTAACTGTTCTTTGTTTGTATTATAGTGAGTTATCGCAAACGGTGCTCAACAACACGCTCGAGTAAGGTTGACTCGAAGCCCCGGCCATATTTTCCGCGTTATCCGCTCAGATATCCGGTTCGTTCATATTTGGAGCCCGCATGGGTTCACCACGGTTGTCGGAACATCCAACCGGTGAAGTCAACAACAACCGAATCGTCATGCTGTACCGCCTCCGTGAAAATGAAACAGAAAGAGCAGCGCGCGAGGAAAGACGCTTTGGTCAAGGCCGAGGAGGAGGTGAACTCTCGCGCGCGCCCCTCCGAGAACACTTCTCGTTATTGGTCCTAGACTATTCGGAACAGTGCCACGAATCGGGCCGTCTATTGAACCAACGATCCAACGTCGTGGGGCCGCTCGCTGAGCGAATGGATGCGACATGGTGCCTTCATCGTGAGACGAAAAGAGGGGAGACGCAATGCATACATGGAATTCGTTTACATCATTGGTCGGCGATCCTTGCTTCTGACCAAACTGCGGCGCCTTGTCGCGTTGCATCCCTTTCGTCGGGGTTCGTGCCTGTTGAACTCCTCCAGCTTCCGTGCATCGACAACTTCCTGCCGAACGAGGTGCTGCCGTGCAAGGAGAACGGCAGGTCATCCATCTACGAGCTAGACCGCGACGGACGCGCGTACGGAAACATCTACGAACTGAGGAAGGTGAATGCCAAGCGCTACTGGTGTATCTGTAAGACACAACGTCGTTTCACGATGTTCTCGCTTGGTATCTTCGCGGTCCAGCTTAGGTTATGTTTAAGTCATTTTCTGCTCGGACCACCGATGGCTTTGATTCGGGTTTGTTTACCATTGTTTTGACCCCTCATCGTTGTTTCAGAATACCATACACAGAGGATGCATGTTGCTATGTACTATCTAGGGTATCTTTTCCTTTTCGCTTGTTTTGGTACCCCTTGCTGCATGCGTGGGGTGGACTCAGGCCAAAATCCTTGACTTCAACGCTGTCGAGACCTGGGTACCGTTCTACGAGAAGGTGGTGTACGAAGACATGCTTGTCGGGCCAGGGCTCAGGGATTGGCTCAGGTCGCTCGAGACAAAGTGAGCTTCACCCAGAACAAGGGAAACACGTATTCATTGCCGAGTTTCTCTTAGTATAGGAAGCGTCTGCTTGGTACCCCGAGAGCGAGAGAAAAGGCGCCGTACGTACGCCGTAAGATTTTCTCTGCTGGTGCTGCTGCCGGTGGGTCCGCCGGTGGTGCAAGCTGTAGACTATTGAGACCGCGTGGTGATATTTCATTGCTGTCGCCGAAGCCGACCCTCTGCACGGTGGGGTGCGGAGTTGGCTTCAGGAAAGCACTCCTTGTACAGTCGCATCGGATACCACGGAGCAGCGCGTTCCGCCGTACACATCAACGTCCCGTCCGACCATAGCTCATTGATATTGTCGCCGCTGGTTTCGCTTGTGCCCAGGTATGGCCTCGTTGGGAACTACATGGATGTTCCGGACAACGTTCTTCAGACAAACATGGCACGGTTGTGGAGCAACATGTACTACACGAACAGGTGAGTGAGAAGGTTCAACCCCCTTTTCCATCCTTCGGAGATTCTCTAGGGGCACATGGACTATGTATGTAGGTGCAGGTGCATCTTGCGGCTCATAGTGATGTAGGGAGTCATTCTTCAAAACCAAGGCGGACAAACGGAAGTAGGCGTGGAACGGTCCTTGGCAGACGCGATACCTACACTGCGGGTGTATGGTGGCGGTGGCGCCTTTTCGAACATAGGCGTTGTGTGAACACAACTTGGGGTGCAGTCCGTCAATCATATCCTGCAAAGGCGTACATCAAAATGGTTTACTCAATCAAATCTCTCAGCGGTCCGGATCGTCTCCTCGCGCCCCTACGCCTAGATGCGAAAGACAAAATGGCCGGCTCAAGATGCAACGAAGTGATCGCTCTTGTGTTTACTCTCTACGGGACCAGTGACATCCAGTTCGCCTCGTCGTGTTGTTATTCCATCTCACGATGCTCTCCTCTTACCTGCCTCGTCTGGACAATACCGGCCACAAACAAACCGTGATGAAGCGAGCATTGCGCGCCGAACTGCACTATGGGCGGTGTGACGGGAGCCACAGCTGTGGAAGCCCTGCACCAGATGTGGGACGAGGAGCTAGAGAGTGGGATCGGGTACAACAAAGTTGATGTGCAGGGCAAAGCGGAGAAGAACCGCGATGTATGACACTCTTCGCCAAGACATCATCTAGGCATAGGCAGGTGTAAAGCGGGGGCGGTGGGATTCTGTTCTAATAGGGGCAGACGGGTGCTTCGCAGGTCCGATCGTTTTTTTTGTGTGTTATTGCCATTGGTTCTGGGAGCAGTTTACTGAATCGTATCACTTGACGTTCTCCGTATTACGGTGGTCACACAGACGGTAGTTCGTGGAAGATATTTTTTTTAGTGTGTGTCTCCCACCATACTTAGCGGTTATTGTCTTCGAGTTTTAGAGGGAGAAAAGGGTTCAGCGATCCCTTTCCTCTTGCTCCTTGTTGTGTACCGTATCATGCGTCCCCTTCCACCACATATTTGCGAATTTTTACTCACGAGAGAGTTTATAGTCTAGCAACAAGCTCCTGCATAGGCTTTTGAGCTTACTCACTAGATCAGGGATGGGTGAACGTAACCTGTTCAGGGGGGATCACCGCTGTTTCGGGTAAGGTTGAAGACATTTGGTATTCTACAGATCGTAGCTGTGCAAGTTTCTGCCGTCGTAGCAATCGCAAACAACACCGCAGCCGTTGATGGCCTTCCTATACCTGGTTCAACGGATGGACACGAAGCGTTCTGTGACAAGACACACAATGGCAACACTTTTTCCTTTGAATGGTGAGGGCACGGGACCATCACGGGTAGCACACGAGCTGTCAGTGCGTGTCATAGGGGCGCACCAGCGAGACGTGCCAGGACGTACTGGAAGCCCATGAGGGTCCATCAAGTCGTCTCTCAGGTCGAACCCCTATGACGTTCCGCGAAACGAGGGTCTCCTACAGGCCCGCATGGTCGCCGTCGGGCGGCTTGCTGGCTTTTCTTTGGGTTCCATGGCAGAAACTGAAGCACCAGAGGGGCGTACAAAGAGGGAAACATCACCGAACAGGGACACTCCAAATCAAAACCACACCTTCCACCAATATTTCCTAGCCCTGAAGAGCTTACGTTAACGGCGAAGTGAAACCAGGGGGCAGCTAGTTCACCTTTGCAGCGCTGGGCGACACGCTTCGGCGGCTGGCCTGTCCATGCCCCGATGGACCTGGAAAACTGAAGGGTCGACGCGCTGCGCTTTCCCCCTAGAGTCGTGAGAATTTGGAAAGAAGGACGAGAGCTCGCACCTATCCACCATCTTCGCGGTTTGGACCACTCCTTCAGTGAAGGTACAAACACCGTGTTCCCGCGCCCAATCGGCACACGTGTAGCGTTCGACGGACTCATGAAAATTCAAACTCGGCGGGATCGAGGACCATGGCATCCACTGCGGGCGTTGTCGTAGCACGTGAAGCAGCCGGTTGAGACACACCCAACAGAGACCCCATGGGGGCCTCAGTAACCGTCTCTGGCGGCGCTATCGGCACCGTTGGGACAGGTTCGACGGCAGGCTCAGGTGTCATAACGGCTGGCGGCGCTCGTGTTTGCCGACGATAAGTACTTGCAGCGGCAGCTGCATACGGAACGCGTGGGGGAATGGACAAGTCGGGACCGAAACCGTAGTTCACATCAGGCTGAGGTTTTTTCAGCAGCAGCGGTTGTTCTGCGACGCGCGGGTAAAAATCAGTTCCGAGGGATCAAGACGATGCGGTTGCAACGGAGAGGTCGAGTGTGGCCGCAATGAGTTGGTGGCATCCAAACGATCAGATTGGGAGCCGGTGGCGACAGTTGCGGTCGTAGGAGACATGACAGCGGGCAACCGAGAGTTTTCGTCCGTGGCCTGTGTGTCATGGACAGGGAGCGCAAAATGCAAGTTGTAGCCGTGTTGGGCCGCGCAGACAGTCCGGAAACCGTGGCGGTGGACCTATAAAACAGTCTCAGCGGAGACGCAGCAGGAGACACCGAAGACTGGCTCACCGGCACAGCGTCCTGCTATATATGGGTTGCAGCAGAGATGTCCCCAGGCGCAGCAAGTACGGAGTGTTCGGTGCAAGACCTTGCACGAGCGTCCGCAAGGTGTCTCAAAGGTCCTCCCGCGTTGACGGCAGGAAACACACCATGACAGCAGGAAACACACGAACGACGAATTCTCCTTCAGGAGCATCAAGGTCGTCAATCCTCATCCGAGGCCTGTGTTTGCGAAAATCCGCAAAATCGTCGGAAGTGAGGGGTAGCCCACACAAAGCCGTTCCCTGGCTCGGGGGCGCCAGCCCACTCAAACCAATGCCAGGCGTGGTTTGTCCGGGTGATGCGTGACCTGTCCCTCGGATCAGATACACACCAACGTCCTCGGGGGACGTCAAACTACTGTTACCGTTCATGTCGGCGTCAGTAGGCTCGACCGGCAGGCGAGACAGCATGTCAACACTACCATCGGAGGCACCTAATCGGTATTCCAACGTGTAGCTGTAGGCCTCAAGCAACTCAAACCAGCGTTGGACGCGGGGGTTGTGCTCGCTGATTTTTGACAAACTTCCCAGCGCCTTGTTGTCGGAATAGAAGCGGAAGTGTGTGCCACGAAGGTACTCGCGGAGACGATTGATTGCCCACACAACGGCCCCTGCTTCGAGGTCGAGAGCGGTCCAGTTTCGTTCAGCGTCGAGCACAACTCTGCCAATGAAAACGGTCGGCCGTATGGCAACTCATCCGCGGGTCGGCGGTTCTGTCCACATCGTCGTCGGTAGAACCCAAAATAGGTCCAGGCACAGAGCACTTCGTCGCCAAACTATTGTTCTAAATGCTCTACCGGCACGCGCATCAGCGGGGTGGCAGCAGCGAGAAAGTCTCCTGGCTCAAGTTCTACGGCACCCGCGAGTGGCACAAGCTGACGTCCGTCGGAGACAAAGATTTCTTCGTTCGACGAAACATCAGGAAACACATCGACAAGGTATTGACCGGTCAATGCCGGTGTACCGTTGGAACGCACCAAGTTGACCTCAATCATTTGGTGGTCTTCTGATAAGGAGGTACCGTCGGCCCTGCATAACGGAGCTGGAATTGGTTCGCCGGGGCTGTGAAATCAGGCACATACGCGACCGCACCAGAAACGTCCTGGTGGGCAAGCGAATATTTACCAAGAACGCACTCGCCCAGTTGCCTCGGAGGCAGCATAAGGTACGTGCGAATGCCAAATCGCATGAAACTATCGCGCCCTCAAAGGATGGAAAACTGCATGGTGTTTGCAGGGACTAAGTGCGCCCAACCGGCAAGAGAAGCCGAAGGCGTTTCACCGCGGAAAAACTGCACACTCAGACGGACTGTGTCGGACGTCTGAAGAGACTCGGATTTACCAAAACCTCCCGAAGAACGTGCGTTACCGTGCGAGATGCAAGCCTCTGAGATTGCTCCCATGGCTGTGACGTTACCATGTGATTTGGCCGACCCAGCGTGGATTTTGGCTCGAGTCCTAAATGACGCGTATCAACACCACCTACGAGGCAAGGACCATGCTCAGCGAGCCACGGCACACGGCTGTCGTCTTCATACTCAGCGGACGTAACCGTGAGGGCTTCAGTGCTGTGATCAGGTGGAACATTCGCTGATTCGATGCAGTAACCTGAGGACGGGGCGACCTCCGCGGCTGCAGCAATCGAAATTCGCTCTAGCGCTTCAGGGGTAACCTCATGGGTTGTACTCCGGAGCTTTGCGTCTAGCGAAACTCGTGGTGGAAGTGTCGGCGTCGGCGCGTGCTCTCGGAGGAGGTTCGGACAACCTTCCGGCTTTTGCCGAGCAGATGGGAGCCTCGCCACAAAGCTCTAGCCACTAGAAGGCATGACCCAGTTTTGAGACGAGACAGGGCCTGTACGCCTGCACCAGATGGTTACCTTAAATTCTCGCATGGGAACATGTCTAAGCTGACCCATGCCTTATTTACACCTGCCCTAACTTCAACCAAACTTACACTGGTACCATGCAGTCCCAACCATCGCACCAGAACCGCAGAGCCACACAAACCTCAAGACGATTGAGTATTATTTCCGGGCGGGAGCACGCAATGTATTGTGTATTTCTCTTGAGAATTGTTTTTCTCATGACAGAAAACTCGATCATATGACTCCCTGTGCAAAGTGAGCGTTAGTCGCGCATGTGTGTGGTACACAATACGGAGTAAGAGGAAATGGATCGCTGAACCCTTCTCCCACAATACAAGTATATCAAAGACAACAACCGCTAAATAAGGTGGGGCACACACTCTTCTATGTAAAAACTTCCACATTATACCGTCTGTGTGACCCCGGTTTTGCGGAGAACGTCAAGTGTTCAATTCAGTAGACTGGTGCCAGAACCAATGGAAATGGCAGACATAAAAAACCCGGATCGGACATCCGGAGTTGGGGTGGACAGCTTACCGCAAGCACGATCGCGACGTACCAAGCACCCGTCTGCCCCTTTAGAACAGAACCCCGCCGCCCCCGCTTTACACCTGCCTATGCCGAGACGATGTCCAAAGAGTATCATTCATCACGATTCTTCTCCGCTTTGCCCTGCACATCAACTTTGTGGTACCCGATCCCACTCTCTAGCTCCTCGTCCCACATCTGGTGCAGGGCTTCCACAGCTGTGGCTCCCGTCACACCGCCCATAGTGCAGTTCGGCGCGCAATGCTCGCTTCACCACGGTTTGTTTGTGGCCGGTATTGTCCAGACGAGGCAGGTAAGAGGAGAGCATCGTGAGATGGAATAACAACACGACGAGGCGAACTGGATGTCACTGGTCCCGTAGAGAGTAAACACAAGAGCGATCACTTCGTTGCATCTTGAGCCGGCCATTTTGTCTTTCGCATCTAGGCGTAGGGGCGCGAGGAGACGATCCGGACCGCTGAGAGGTTTGATTGAGTAAACCATTTTGATGCACGCCTTTGCAGGATATGATTGACGGACTGCACCCCAAGTTGTGTTCACACAACGCCTATGTTCGAAAAGGCGCCACCGCCACCATACACCCGCAGTGTAGGTATCGCGTCTGCCAAGGACCGTTCCACGCCTACTTCCGTTTGTCCGCCTTGGTTTTGAAGAATGACTCCCTACATCACTATGAGCCGCA